ACACGGAAGGTATCCTTATTTGTTACCTTATGATATGTGGAATTGAAATAGCATGATCGCCTCTTCTCTTTCCCTATTTCACTAGTCATTTACACACAAAAATCCTCCTCCATACATCACCTTCCATAACTTCCTCCATCGATCTCAACTTCTTCATAGAGTCTCATTCAACAGCAACAGTCCAGCTAACATGGATTAATTCTTTCTCACGACAATCTCATACCACGCTAATCTCTTATTCATCTTCCATAATGCGGGTAGAACTTTCAAATTTCCTTTAATGAATTTATTCCTAGTTTCCCTTCAATATTCACACTTTCATTTCAACATTTACGTCTTTATAAAAAACACGCCGATCTGTTTGCTCTACCACTGCATGAAAGTAGACTTATTAGCTAAAAAACACCAACACACCCCACGCAATTAAAATATTAGTTTTAAATAATAAGTTTTAATATAATAATTAATAATGGATAATGTTAGATATGATTTAATAGTACGAATTTAATATAACCCTGTATTATATACATAAATATTTTAATATACCTAAATACAATTTTTTACTACGTATAAATAAATTATTGGAATTTCTCTTCAAATTCAATGAGCCTTATCGTTTTTTTTTGCAACACTCTTTAAATATCTTAGAAATCTAGATCGTTGTTAAATCAAATTACTTTAGAAATCAATCTGAAGATGAGAGTTTAAATTGTATGGATAGCTAGGTACAGGTGTTCATTAAACACCTGTATTGTCTTTACCACTCTGATGGAAACCACCCCATAAGGTATAGTGCACATTGCGAATAAGGGCTTTGTAAAATTAATCTTACGAACTTAAAATTTAATTAAATTGCCTGAAATATTTACGCAAAAACTTTTTCTAAGAATAACTAGACACTATGGCTCAGTTCAGAATTCATATATCATATTTTTAATGAATGTACAGACAGTGAGACAATTTGAATATGATGATGTTCTCCTAGCCGATTCCGGCTACGGCGGCCAATCTCATTGAGATTAGCCAACTGCGCAGGAGATATTATAGTGCTCAAGTGTACGCGCAGACACAAGTGCACTCTCTATTCCTATCACTCTCATACTCCGGTGGGACGACCACTCAACACGACCAGTGAGAGTTAAGGCGCAGGACCGACGGCTTTACGTGCTCTCCGAGGCAGGGGGGTGAAACACCGCCAACTTCCTAACTCCGGGCTGTTACTGAGACTTACTACAGAAAGACTCAATAACTAAACTGTTTACAGAAAGACTCAATAACTAAACTTTGGCACGACCCGGGACTCGAACCCAGGACCTCCGGGTGTGCAGCCGTACATGCTAATCACTACACCACCGAGGCAGTTAATTTTGAATAGGTATATACACCATCTGGAGCATACTATCCTTAGTCGAAACTAAAAACAAAGAAAAATTTCAATAAAATTTTATACGAAAAACCAATAAACAAAAAACATTAGGAAAAGTTAGGGTATCAAATGTACCTATAAGTTATTCAAACACATTTAGACCAGGGTCGACAATTTTTGAAGCCAAAAAAAATTATAGTAGGATGAAACCTATTGGAAAAGGATGAAACCTATTGGATCTATGCTTGGGACATAAAAAGGTAAGTTTTCACCAAATTTCGTGAAAAGATTTTTTTTCGACAGACGAGGTAATAAACAAAAAACATTAGGAAAAGTTAGGGTATCAAATGTACCTATAAGTTATTCAAACACATTTAGACCAGGGTCGACAATTTTTGAAGCCAAAAAAAATTATAGTAGGATGAAACCTATTGGAAAAGGATGAAACCTATTGGATCTATGCTTGGGACATAAAAAGGTAAGTTTTCACCAAATTTCGTGAAAAGATTTTTTTTGTAAAAGATAAAATTAAAAAACCAAAATCTTTGTTATTTGAGTTTTTCATATAAATTTGGAGGTTATGTGAAAAAAGTGTAAAAACAAAAGTTGTAGATCTTTTTATTACCTACAACTTTGCTATTTAACTTTTTTCCATAGGATTTGTAGTTTTGCCGGAAATCGAAATAAACTGTTTTTCACCCTTAAAAACTCACCCCCTCTCACTTCCCGACCTCAGATCGCCCATTATTTATTTTTCCTTTCATTTTCGTTATATTATCTTCCTTTTCCAATGGATTTCATCCTACTATAATTTTTTTCACTTTTTACCATTTTCAAAGGCTTCAATCCTGGTCTAATTATGCTGTCCTTGTTATTATTTGTATAAAAGTTTCATAAACTAAATTTACTACCCAGTCATATCTTTTAATAGGGCAAAGAAATTAAATACTTTTTTAACCTTGAAGAAATTATTAAAAGCCAAAGAGTACGCGATAGCACACCGTTTTGACCGCATCCTATTCCCATTAGAAGCGGCGAGCATTTGCGGATATTTCAATTATACGCCTTATGAAATAGTTGTCTCGGTAGATGTCGATTTCGCGGATGCCCGCAATATTGGCGCGGTACGATAGGCGATCGGAATTTTTGTTGGGAGTGCCGCATGTTAGCAAGCGAAGCGTTTTCATTTATTTTTAAGCACACCTTGCATTATTATCGGGCTATACAAATATAAATGTGAAAGTTTGTTTGTGTGTAGGTATGTATGTTTGTTACGTCTTTACAATGAAACAGTTGAATGCATGAAAGTAATATCATATAAAATAATAAATATAATATAAGCTACTGCTAATCATCTAGATACTTCTAAGCTACGAGTAACTACCTAGTACGTACACTTTAACTTTGATAGTTGAACTTGAACAAGATTAAATAAACAAAACTATCTTTTTGAATTTTTTTGCGATTGTATTTTGATTTTTGGTTCCCCAAAAATAAAAAATAAATTCCCGAAAAAATCCGAAAAGATAGTTTTATTTTAAATGTCATAGGTAGCTTTGGAAATCTAGGAAAGTATTAAATTAAATAAAATTGAATTAAACCTTATTTCAATTACATTTTCGAAAAATTAAATATACTTGCCTTGCTATCATAAAAAAAAACTTTTCTGCAAATAAATAGATTTTATATAAAATATATAAAACCCGCTCTGCTGCCATCACCGCTTCGCGTATTTTCAAGTGAATATCTTAAAGCGCTTCACGCGCTCCGCGGCCGCCCAAAGAATTGCAGATATACCGAGACGTTTTTAAATTCTCCACAGGGATCTTCATTGGAAGGACTCCATTTATTAGAATTTTATTACAGCCTATATCTATTTGCTTTTATTTTTTTGATTTATTAACAGAGGTTTTTCTGGGTACATGCTTGTTTTCATTAGACCCAACTATAGTAAAAACATTTTTTTCTATGGTAAAAAAGTATGAATGTGGGGTGTAAAGTCTATACTAATATTATAAAGAGATAAAGTTTGTGAGTTTGTGACGTTGTAGGGGGTAATCTCTGGATCTACTGAACCGATTAAGATGAAATTTGGTAACAAGATAGTTTGAGACCCTGGGAAGGACATAGGGTACTTTTTATCCCGGAAATCATCCCTTAAGGGGGTGAAAATGGATATGAAAGTTTGCATTGGGAATTAAGCTAGGGACGAACCCGAGCAAAGCGAGGGTGATTCGCTAGTATTTATATATGCACTAGCGACTTACCCTCGCGTTACTCGGTTGTGTTCCTAACAGCCTAATAGCCTAACCCTATGTTATTTATTTACTAAATTCATCCAAATTCATCCAATTGTTTCAGTGTGAAAAACTGCCAAAAATAGTAACACAAACAGTAGCCCAACATTGTTAAAATAATAAAAAAATCAACTTAACATGTAAGTTATTAATATAAATAGGAATAATCGCAAAACCCTTACACAATATTAGCGAAAGTTAATCAACGCTCAGCTAAACTATAGGTAATCTGTGGTAATATGCCGCTATCTAGCTCTAATCTGTCCCTCAGCGAGTAGCGAGCATTAAACGAATTACTCCACCCATTAAAATTACTCTACCTGTTGATTACTACAACCTAGTGTTTCAAGTTTCAACGTAAATTTTCTCTTAGGACTAATTGTGTCGAATGTACCTACCCAGTACCTACATATTTGGTACCTACTAAACTAAAGATATTTTTAAACTTTGTTTCCCTTTCACGTAGATTTCTACTAACAGATTGACATGTTTTTTGTTTGTGTTTTTACATAGAAACACATACTTTTTTTACACATACCTACCACTTGCATAGACACAAGTGGTTATGTGGGACTAACTGGCTCGAAAAGGCAGTACTACCAACTAAAACTCAACAGAATCTCGCCAGTCTTAAGGGGATGTCGCAGGATCACTAACATACTCAACCACGACCCCACGACCACGACCAAGGGGTTGCTCCCACGATGCGCTCTGCTATCAGAGAAGTACCAAGAGCAACCCGCATGGTACACCGCCCACCGAAGTGGGCCACCTCCCAGTGGGTCTCTTGACTGGACGGCCAGCTGGATTGCCGGATGTTCATGGGGGGCACAAATAAACACACACTACATTTACTTTACAAACACATATTACATTAATACACGCTATAAATCTAAACAGTTTATTATATCTAAATAGTTCAACATGTGCTCGGTTTAAAAAAATGAATAAATATGTACATTGTACTGTACGTTCATATTTTTTATTTTAAAAATAGGTATTTGTGTTTATTATCATGTCTATTTCTTTATCTTATACAGATCACATTTAAATTTCAAGTTTCTGATTAAAAACAGATAAACTTAAAATCAAGTTAACAGAATATGAAAACGTATATCAGTTTCTATAATCTATAAATTTAAAATAACACCTTGACACATCTGCCAAATTTAAGTTAACGTTTTGATATAAAAAATGCTTCAATTTCATTTATTTACTCTTTTGATAACTACAATCATCTAAGCCTCGAAAGTGCGCGAATTACCTGTTCTTCACATTAATATTATCAAATCAAATTCAATTCAAACAATCGATATTTTAAAAATCAGCCATTAATAATGGGCAATGAAGGAAAATGCACCTTTGGCACTCGTATGCCCATCGACATACATATGCTAAATGAGATTATCTACAGGGAAGTAAAGCACTTTCGCAATTATAAAATTTATAGACCTAACTTTGGTTGTAAGTATCTTCATGGTATCAGTATAACATCCTCATCTGATTTGTATCAACTGTACTGTACTTACCTACGACTTTGCTTATACACCTGCTTCGGAATCTCAACTTTGTTTCATATCTTGTAAAGAAGTTCTATCCATATTCCATACGTAGGTATAGCGTTTCTTTCGGTGTCCAACCTCTTCCACTTCAATTTTCTCCTTCGTTCTTCCTTTTTTCCTTCCCTTTTTCCTCTTTTTAATGCTTTCCTCTCATGTGGAAGATGAAGCACGAGCAGTAGTTATAGACTACTTCCTATCAGACAGACTATATATACTAGCTTATGAGTAGGTATAGGTACATATCATCTTTACAGCATAAAATAATATTTATTCACCACATTTTTAAAGTGTCATATATAAAAACCGATCACTCATACAGCAGTTAGTCTGATATTGAAGAAACTTAAAATTTTCATACATAGTCCATTCACTATTCCTCGGAAACCGTTCCTTTGATATTTTAATATGACATTCTAATTTCTGGCTACAAAACAATACATATATTTAAAACTTATTAAATCAAATATTTTATTTAAATCTTTGCCTTTTTCAACATTTTTAGCTTCTAACTAAAGTTATGATTTTGCCATTCCAAATAATTTACGAAAGTCATTTTATAATACAATTCAATCTTGAACAGCAATACCTGTAACCAGTAAATTTTACGCGGCACACGATCAGCTTAAAGCAGAATCTAAGGAGCAAACAGAAAAGGTTGACAATTATCATCATAATGTCGCTCAAACCAGGGCTAAAGGGCCGCATAGCAAGTACCCTTCACCTGCCACTGAAAATCAAGTGTACGTCAATACTATAATATTACGTGTTTTTTTTTAGCATAACCATAACCAATAAATAAATATGTAGAGACATAAAACTTAAACATTAAACATAAAGGTACGTATTTTTTTAATAAGTATAACCTATAATTAACATTATAAAGAGGCAGAGTTTGTTTGTTTGAACGTGCTAATCTCTGGAACTACTAATACATTTAAAAAAATCTTTTTGCATTAGATAACCCGTTTATTAGGGAAGGCTATATATAGACCATAATATATCATATCCACACTTAATATTATAAATGTGAAAGTATTAGAGTTTGTTTGTCCTTCTTTCATGTCGAAACGGAGAGTTGGATTGGCGTGATTTTTGTGTCGAGATATTTGGAGGGCTGGAGAGTGACATAGGCTACTTTTTACCGCGGGAGATTTTGTAATTCCTACGGGAAAACACGTTATAATACAATCCAAAAAAATATTTATGATAAGAATTACTTGAAACTTGATATTAATGCTCTTCAATAAAATTAAATAAATACGTTTTTTAGCATTTTCAACCGATTTCAAAAAGGAGGAGGTTGTCAATTCGACTGTATTTTTTTTTATGTTAGTTACTTCAGAACTCCGTCATTTATTAACCGATTCGGACAATTTTTGTTTTGTTTGAAAGGGTATACTTCCAGATTGGTCCCATTTAAATTTCAAAAAAAAAACCACTCCTAAGGGTGGAAAAATAGCTAATGATCGATTTAACCTACTTCTAATTGTCATATTGACTTGAAACTTTGCAAGTGTTTCTATTTCCGTTGATAGTACAGTGGTTCGGTATTGTTGACCTGATCTGATGGTAAGGTCAGAAGTTGGATAGGTGGAACTCTTCAACGGCTAATAGTAGATACTTTGAGTTTGGGCTTATTTTGTTTGATTCGACAAGCCTAACACGTTAGAATTATTACTTTGCAACTACTGTCTACACTAAAAAGGGAAAAATAAAAACTTTTTAACAAAATAATAAAAACCGACTTCAAACAAAAGCACTAAAGAGTAAAAAATAACTGATTGGTAGTTTTCATTTACTATACATACCTAATCAAATATTTTCGAAGTCGGTGTGCTTTGGCTAAGTAATTAAAGCGTACCTATTGAATACATACCTAATCAAATATTTTCGAAATCGGTGCCAGCCCATACAAAGCAAAGCACACCGACTTCGAAAATATTTGATTAGGTATGTATAGTAAATGAAAACTACCAATCAGTTATTTTTTACTTTTTAGTGCTTTTGTTTGAAGTCGGTTTTTATTTTTTTGTTAAAAAGTTTTTATTTGAAATTCGTTCTATAAAGGGGTAAAATAGGGGATGAAAATTTGTATGAAAGTACCTTTTTAAAGATTTTTTTGTAGTTTTAGCGCAAGCGAAGTCGCAGATTCTGCTAGTAATATATAATCTATCTATTCCATAATAAAACCTTAACGTACCGTTAAAACGTACATACGAAATAGAGCGAAGCGAGGGTGAGTCGCTAGTATTATGTTATTAGAACATACTATGTTGTCACACCAGAGATGTTGCCTTTGCATGTATTTATATAAAAATATCATAATGCCAGTTTACCAGTAATATTTCGATTGATTAAGTGTGAGAATGATTTAAAACGAAATTTGTGCAGTATTATATCATTTTATTACCTATCCGATTTAAAAAAGAGGTTTTAATTAAACGTAATTTTACGCATTAAATATTTACAGTTACGGTTGGTATGATAAACCTTTAGTGCCAATGGATCGCAACGACCGTCGATTCTACCACCCGAAGAGAGAAAGCTCACATACTAAAGTTGAAATTATTATTCTCATGTCCAATCCCAAGAAACGAGGATAAATTAAAAAGTAAAAAAAAATTATGTATAAAAATAATAAAACAAATTAATATTAATATACATCTTTCTTTTAATATAAAATCCTTTCGAAAGGTTGACGTGAAAGTTCTTGAATCTTGGAAATATAGTTTTTTTTTTTCAATAATAATTAACACTAAATAAATTAAAAAAGACTGAAATTGACAAAGTTTGCACTAACAAATAATATTCAAATATATCCGTACGTCTCATCCATGAACGAATTAGTCTCTAATTCGTTCATGGTCTCATCCTTCGGGTTTTCTTATTACATATTTTTTCCGTAATCACGAGTATATGTATACTTATTAAGAAAAACTTTTTTTACAAAATAAAAGTCATGCGCTTATTATTTTTTATTTATTTACTACATAACTTACATTATTCTTTAATCTCTTTTTCTGTGGCCGCGAATTGATTCCAGCCAGGAGAAGCTTTTTTCGAAAAATCACCTTTCTCTAATGGACGTAAATGAGCTGCAGCTACCCGATCCCTGTAAATGTATACAATATATTAATATATTGGCAGCATATTTGCATTTATTACCTATTACAAGCCTTATAAGGTAATCCTAATTTTACCTACATTTTAATTATGTCTCATTTCTTGTGAAAGTTTATTTTTAATATATATCTAATATATATGTATATAGATTTTCTATAGGTAGTTTTCTATAAAACCTTATAGAAAACTACCTCTAGAAAATCTAAATATAGTATCAATTATATCTAATATATATATAATTTCTGAATAAGGGTATTAATTTATTTTCACTCACTACCAGTATATTTGAGAGTTTCTGGACGAAAATATTTAACAGCTTTAGAAACAATATAAAACTAAATTAAAAGACTAGAGAAGCAGAATATACATACCAATATATAATTTTTTTATTGCCGGCCATCCCATAGATTTATAAAAAGAAGGAAATATTGAAATAGATGCACAAGAAAATTATTACGCCGCTACCTTGCCCTTATTGTTATATATATAATAATAATACCTTACCCTTACTTAGAAACTTACGCAAATTCTTCGTAAGATTTTGCTGTATGAATTGCGTCGCACTTTACATTATTAACTTGCCAATACTTTCTGTCCTCCTCCACACTCTGCCTTAATTGATCTTCCATGGCTGATATATCGTCTTGATTTAAAGGCTTGTTCATTTTGTTCAAACCATTAATAAAAATAGCACAAATATTTATAATTCTATGAAATATCTTAATAAGGTGATCGATTATGTATTAAATAATAAACTATTTAGCATATCGACAATGGCGACAATGCTGTCAAGATAAATAAACAAAGTCATCCCCATGGTTACATTCATGAAACATATCTTCAACTAAAGCTCAAATAATTATATTACAATGCGTTTTTATAAAATATGATCTCCTTCTCCTTCCTTTTTACCTGACTGCAAGGGAAGGGTTATGTTTTTCGCGCCTATCTTTGTATGTTTATTCTTTGTTCCCTCATATCTTCCAAACCACTCGATGGATTTCTATAATTAAGGTATCGTTAGATTCGTATCTTTATTCCAAGTGTTCTTAGAAAGGTTACACAAAAAATAAATAAATATGGGGGCTGCTAGATTCCATAATGTGAAAAGAAAAAATGAAAAACGACGACCTATGTCAAATGGGGTTTCATTGAATAAGTATTTTAAAATCATTTTATGTCTGTCATCATTTTTCATTTTAAATATTAGTTTAGGATATATAATGATTTAAAGTTGGTTAACAACCATTCTCGCTAATTTTCCTATTTAAAATGCTGTAAATAAATGAATATATTATAAAAATAAAAAACCCGACTGCGTTAAGCTAACTAAAAAGATGACAAGTCCAACATGGAATATAGAATACATACGAGTATGTACATCTTGCGGCAAGGATGAAACGTGTATGTCTCCGATTGTATAATACTGTATTTCATCGTAGACTGGTTTTCATAATTTTATCTTCATAACAATTATAGTAAACTAGATAAAACACATATGCTTATTTTTATTAATTAATAATAAGTATAAAAAAGCTTATTCCTTTAATTTTAATTTCGTTCAATTATACACAAGAACCTACCAAAGAGTTTATCAAGTTCTGCGGAATGTTGACCAAACATCCATTAATACTTGTGACGCTTAACGCGCCTAGCTCAATCTTAGCATTCAGTGTTTATTAATTGAATATGACTGACTAAAATCTATACTTTTTAGTCTTTAAGACATAATAATATCGTTTCACTCAAGAAGTATGTAAATCACTAAATAAAACCGGGATTTGTGCAAGTAGTCTTTATTTTAAAGCATAAAAATTAAGACGATGAACCAGTGTTCTTTGTTAATACCTAATAAAAGAAACTAAGGCTGCGGAGTTAGACGCAATCAGAGTTCGACTAATCTTGCGTTTTCCGTACACTAATGACTAGACCAAGAATAGGCTAACGTCTGAGCCGAAATAGATTGGGAAATAAAACAAATTGACTTCCGTGGTTTTAATTATCTAAAATCTATTTCTATCTATAATTACATATTTAACAAGATTTCTGCACTATATATTTATAGGAACTTAAACTCTTTTAGAATATACTCAACCAATCAAAAGGGTTGAAAATGTTAGTTTATCAATCTTATAGTTAATAGTAGTCTTAAGTTTAGGTTATATTTCGATGGGCTCTACATCATTACACGCGTTTGTTTTTTCTTTAATGAGGCGTGGAAAACTGTGACAGCTTAATACTATGTCAAAGTCCTGATAAATGCTATGATAGTGCACTAAATAATAACATAAGAAAATAAAAATATATTTTTTATAAGTAACTAATTTATTATACAATTTAAAGTAGTCATGTTATAGTACAACGCGTGCCTTCGTAGAGCTACCACGGATTTCCATCAGACCCCGCTAATACGGACGTACTAGTTATGAGACTATTAGCATTTGAACAGTGAGATAAATGTTTACTTCGAAGTTTTACTAATTTTTAAACTATGTACTTTTGCCATGCTAGAAATAATAAACTGCAACTCATAGCCCCTCGATCCATTCAGGAACATCAATACCTAGATATTTTTTTAAAAGGAAAAATATGGGTTCTCAGCTGACGCACAATAAAGTAATTTGTATGCAAAAAAACGCATTGATTTGACGAGTAAAAGAAGGTCACGCTAATATTTACACGCTTAAAATATTAGATACCTACAGTAAAGAAAATAAGCTTTAAAATTCCAATTTATTAAATTTAAAATTCCAATTTATTAAATTTATTAAAAAAAATATTAATTTACTAGCGGACTCGACAAACGCTGTCCGGGTCGAATATGATCTTCACAAAAATCCTGGAACCCGACTGCGGCGTTACCTACAGGGTCCTCTTGTGAATTTAAACCATCCAAGAACACACTCAAACATACACTTTCGAAATCTCAATGTTCGAACTGTATAATGTATATTGTAAATAAAAATATATATTTATATTTGATACATAATTACTAATTACACATTATTGTATCGAATAAGTGTTATGTATAATTTACTACCACTTAAAAAAAGTTTGGAAAAATTTTATTCTTCAAATTTTTATGGCAATATTAAAATACGTAAATCGGTGTAAACCTGACAGGGTTCGTTAAGGAAAAGTTAGCTGTTAAAGACATCTGCCTATTTTAATATAGCTAGTTACTGTGGACATTAACTATTAAATCTGATCAATTATCAATCTATTTATGGAACTTAGCTACGAGTAGGTATGTCATATGTGGCATAGCAATAGAATATTGTTTTTAACGTTAACGTAATATAAATTCATTTATACGATTTCATAAATTCTGTCATTAATATTATTGCGGCTAACAAAATCCTTAATACATTTAAGCTTTAAGAAAAACTGAAATGAGAAGACCATGTCTGTACATAGACAAATATGCATTATAAAGATTAAATCACGATCACACGATTGAGACTTAAAACAATGCTCCTTCATCAACTTGATGTTTTTTACTGGGATAATAAACATTTTATAGAACAGTCTGTAAGCAATGTGTGAAACATATAAGTAGTAAACCAATGCGATAACCTTGCTACTTTGCCAGAAATGGAAAAACTAGACGTTAAAGAGTCTACCTGCGGTAAAAAGATCTCTACATTGTATAAATAGCTTCATCTGTATTCTTGAGTTATTACGAAAGCCACTAAGCCTACCATTCTTTTTTCGCTCTACATTCTCATGGCATTATAGAAATAATAAGAGTCGATGACCTGATAATATACTAGATATAGGTACTACTCGATAATAATCAACTTATAATTAGATACCTAATCATTTTTATAAAAATAATATCATCATGTGATATCGAGGATAAATATATGATTGGTTAATAATAAAAAGAAATAGTAAAAAGTTGGATCAAACTTAAATCAATACATCAATAAAATAGAGCAGATTAAATAATAATTTTATATTAACACGATTTTTTTTAATATCAATATTTTTGTTTAATGCATTACATGTTGTTTAATACATTCTCAAAGCATCTACAAGAGTTATTTAATTTATTTTAAATTCAATTTAAAATATTAAAGCACACGCTTGTGTCAATACTCAATAGCATTTTTTTTTAATTATAAACCACAGGTTATAAAAAAACGTTAAGAGCCGTATGGTGGATCAAGAGCTCGTGGTAAGATATTTAGTAACAAAAAAGAATATTCAGCTCATAAAATATTCAAGACGCGCTGTCTAGCAAGAATTCAAATTGTTAAGCTGAATGCGTTCATTCTAATCGTGTTGGAACTGTGACTGACGTTCGCAACAAAACAATCGATCGAGCTTTCTCACGCCTCGCATACCGCCCGCTAGATGGCAAAGCAGTATGTGAACTTTTGACGTGAACTTCACTAACTTATTAACAACTTAACCAAAATACTTTAGCTTTTCGTAGATTTTATAATGTTTTAACCATAATATATTTAATATATGTGAGATTTAACTTTAACATTAATAGTTTAATTGTGCTATGTCCAGTCTAAGCATTTAAGTGTCTTTGTGAAATTTATATACATACTTTCTACATCATTTAAGGAATTCGAGTGATTCAGGTGAGAAATATTTCTTATATATACATATTTAACTGTTTTTGAATAGAAGTAAACAGTTTTAATAAATAAAAAGTAGAATATACGTGCAGGACATTCACTTTCATGACATCCGAAAGTGGTGTTAATATTTACGTGAAACAATTTTTTTTATAATAAAAACTAATTCTATATTTAGTCTTTCTTATATAAAAATTAAGCCTTCAATAATAATATAAGCAATAATTATTTATCTTTGATTTATTACCCACCATCACGTGTACTTGAAAAGTTTAAAAATATTTAACTTTTTTTCTATTGATGTAATTAATATTTTGGTATAAATTTTTTTAAAGAAGTCCATGAAAATATTTACCATATCTTGTGATTTATAAATATTTTACTTACATAGAATAGATGATAAATAGATGTGTAAATAGTTTTTTTTTAATGACTTAAAAGTAACTAAGTAAACATTAATAGTTTATATAGCAAATAAGATTTTTTTAGTATTAATTTTAAAAGAATTACAATTTATTATTTTAAAGGTTGCCTTAGGTGAAATAAAAAATATTTTGTCTTCTATTACATTAATTAAATAAAAGAATCAAATCTTAGGTAGCAAAACTCTTTAAAAATTAAAGTTACCACCACCATATAGTTACTCGATATGAATAAATAAAAATACGCAATAAATAATCATGTTCTTAATAATTTACTTATACTTTTTTTATGTTTTAATAAGAATCTATTTTACGTGGGTATACTGGTACCTAACACTTAACATAATGTTACTAAAACCTTGTAGTAATATACCCGAGAAAGAAACTACTTAAAAACAAATTATATCCTCAATACAGGATAAGAATGGTGCTAATATCATTTGTAAAATCTTGTTGGCAAACATAATTGTTTTTGTAAAACAGATAAGAGATTAAAAATATTCAAAAATAGTCTGGCATATTGATTATTATTATCTAACTTGTTATATTTAAAATAACTATTCAAATTCTTATGAATCGTTAGTATTTTTATTACTGACATAATTTATATAGAACTGAACTTATTTTTAAAAATACCTAGTTAGTAATTTCTTAATGCATATAAAATGTCCTAAAGGATAACAAATAAAAAGATGTTGAAGAATACAGATCAACTTATTTATTAAATTCATTAAGAACACTTAAAGGTTTAAATTTTAAACAATAAAATTATTTTTTGCTTTTTTTATGTTCCTTTTTAGATTTCTTTGATTTTTTAGACTTTTTCTTGTGCTTTTTCTTTTTTCTATCTGAATCACTGCTGGCGTCTGATGAAGTAGTACTGCTACTGCTCGTCGATGAGGTACTTGATGATCTAATACCAAAAGTAGTTATTATTGATAATTTTACAAAAGAGCATCAGTTAAAAATAGTATTTATCATGATTTTCTTATGATATATAAGGACTCTGGCTTTGTAATAAAGTAAATAATATTGACACCATTTTTATGGATAATTGCACTGCATAATTGTTTTAATCTTTGAATTTTTTAATCATACCAAAATGCTAATAATATTGTATTTTGTGAGTATACTATACACAGCATACCTTGATCTCTTTCTCTTTTTGCTTTTCTTTTTTTCTTTTACTTTCTTCATTTTTTCTTGTAATTTCTGTCTTAATTCGGCTTCTCGCAAAGTTTGTAAAGGAGTGGCATATTCTTCTTCACTATCACTACTCGTGCTGCTTACATCTAAAACAATTTCTTTATTGGGATCTACCTATAAAAATAAATACATATTTATATCATGAGAAATAAAAACAATAAACAATGTAACCAATTCAATGAATGGTTATATTCTTAGTTTATACATACATATTTTAACAAGTAATTTGTTAAGAAATTTATATTTTATAAATACGCAATACTTATAACCATTATAAAATTTGGACTAACTTTGTTTCTAAGACTTACTTTGATAAAGTTTCTACACTGAAAAGTTAAATGTCCTGCATATCCACACTTTTTACACGCTGCTCTTGAACTATCTTTGCTTATTTTACTTACTAAATCTAATTCAGTATAATTTGACATCATATAGCACTTATGTTAGAGAATGCTAGAAAACGCTAAGTTTAAGCAAAATATCATTACGTTGATCAAGATTCAAGAGTTTTGACGTATATTGACGGCTGCGGGCTGACTCTTTTTTGCCGTCAAGTTGAAACGTCAGTTTAAATTTAAAATGGCTGTGCGACGTTTCGACGAACGCATATTAAATATCAATCTTAACTATTTATTAATGAATTAATTTTAAGTTATTTTATTTTATTATTAGAATAATAATTATTTTTCAGTGTATTGAAAGAAATGCAAGATTTATTAAAATAGCACAAGAAATGTTAGAAAATGGCAGAGTTTTTACCTTTATGCGACGTTTTATTCAACGTGATATCCCTTGCCGGATATTTCTGCGACGTCGTGTTCGATCTCGTAATGGGTTATGCGTTACTTGAAAGAGGGTACAAATGTTCGTTCGCAGCTACAATATCGATTGTAGTTACATCACTATTAATATCACAGGTAAATAATCATACTAATATTATAAATGATAAAGTTTAGACTTTAAATGTTTGGGTGTTTGGATAGATGTTTGTTATTCAATCGCGCCAGAATGGCTGAACGGATATGGATGAAATTTTTATCCCTTTTTTATATAAAATTTTTATATAAAAATGTACGGTTCCCGTGGGATAGATTTGTTGTAGAGGATAGAGGCGAACCTGAGCAAAGCAAGGGTGAGTCGCTAGTGGCATATATTTTTTTCAATTTAATACATTGCTTATATTTTTTTTTGTTGGTTTTTTTGCTTTATGTTGGTAAAATAAGGGATGTTTGTATGAAACTACCTTTTTCTGATTATCTCTAGTTTTAGCGCGAGCGAAGCCGCGGGTTCTGCTAGTCTTTTACAAAGTAACGAAAATAATTTTATTTCTAGGCACTTAATAGACACCTACAATCTACGTACAGCTTATTTGATTAATTAAATTTAAATAATTACTATTTTAAAAAAAACATCAATAATAATTAATAATAAAGAAACTCTTTGTAATTAAAAGAATTTTCTTATCTACCAGGTTCTTTCCCTTCGCTGGTACCTTCACATGTGGTGGGCAAGCGAAGGTCGGAAGGACCGACCGCCCTGGCTGCCTATACTGTTGCATTGTTTGCAAATGGGCGTACTGTGGCGTTACGCTCGGTTACTTGTACCTGTGGAGTTGAGGAGGGTTAAGCATCAAGTTCGCGATCTTTGTAAGCAAACTTAACCGTTTAGTATAATACTCTCTTAAACAAACCTTCATAATATTATATTCTATAAACATTATGTTTCGCGCCGTTCACTCTCATTGTGTCTATTTCATCAATACTTGCAAATTAAAGTCATACAGATTACACATATTTTTGTTCATTTAACTATATAAGAATAAGTGATAAAGCAACCTTAACGTAAAGAACATTTAGTCCTTCGAGCCGGATTTTTGTATTATTGATATTTTGCCGAGAATTGATTAGATTTTTATTTTTCTAAATTTTCATCTGATATTTTAAAAAAGTATTCGCATGATTATATGATAAGAAAATATTATTGCAAATAGTAAATTAAAAAAAATATTTTATAATGTTTTTAATTTTTTGTTTTATAAATAATCAATTTTATATAATTTTATGTTTTCTAGGTATGTTGCGGTTGGTTCATGCGTTCTGCGAAGCTACACCTATGTTACTACTTCAAGTTCACATATTTTTAAAGGACGCAGACTTAGAAAATGAAAATGAGTTACTGGGAGTCACTCCAGAGCCAACTATTGATGAACCATCTGGTATAAATTATCCAAAGTCTCTTCACATTACCTTTAAATAACCTAAGTCGATTCTCGCTTTATGCATGTATATTAGTAGCCACATATACTAATTATTTTTGTATTCTATTCCTGTAAAAACTTATATGTTTTTTTATTTAAAATTCAAATTGACGTAATTACATAATCATATAAACATTTAGTTCCGATATAATCCATCCCCACACATCCCAAATATATAATATACTCAAAAAACAGCCATATTAATAAACTTCCTACTGTGTTGAAGTCGGTTAACTTATTTTTCTATTTAATTTACTTTTTTCAGCAAACAAAGCCTTCGCAGAGCTAAACGTTATATCGGCATCTCTCTCACTGTTCTCTGTCTGTTGGGCGCTGGCTAGTTTCAGTAAGAACGTCAGACTTCAGAACGTACACCGCCTCGTGCTTACCTGGCTTGGAGTTATTTTTCAGGTAAATTGTAAATTCGAAAGTTGGTATGTGTGCCTGTGTGTGTTTGTTTGTAACCCCTGAACCCTAAAACGACGGATTTGGATGAAATTTGGTACAAAGATAGATTATAGTTTGGAATAACACATAGGCTACTTTTTATCCCGAAAAAATATACGCTCCCCGAGGGATAGATTTGTCTTTGTTTTTCTAGAGGCGAACCCGAGTGAAGCGATTGCATTGCGAAGATATTAATTAATGCATAAGCTTTTATTTATTAACGTACCTACGAGTGACACATAAAGATAGAACCGCGGGTAAAAAACTAATAAATATACATATAAAAAATGAAATAATTATTTTTGTTTCTAGTTCTTATGGCGGCTGGGAACGGTTTCTGCGCGGATCTGCGCGCTGAGCTTGTATGCGCTCGTCTATGAATATTGGGTGTTTTTAGTTATAGGTGAGTACGTTTTTTTTTAATTTTAACCGACATCGAAGAAACACAGTGCTGATAAATATTTATTGTCATCCATTCTAGTAGGGGAGCCCAAGAGGGGATTTTCTGTAGTTACTCGAGCGCAGCAGATTAACATAAAAGAGGTTACCTTGCACTCTATTGAGTACTTTCACCATAATATAAGTCTTCTATATAAAGGGGCGCGTCTAGGGAAGCCGATTAAAATATTTAAAAAATGTTTTGATAAGGTAGAAATACTTGAAACCGTCAGATTAAGGTGTGGTAGGCTAGTCACATCCTGAAAAGTGTCCAATTCAATAATCGAGTCGAATCGCGCTCGAGTAACTACAGAAAATCCCCTCTTGGGCTCCCCTACTATTCGTGATTGTTTTTGTGTCAGAATAAATGCTAAAATATAGTAACATTCAATATGTTACTTATATTACAAAAAGTTATTTATGAATGAAATATCAAAACCTGACACTGAGGAAATATAAACAGTGTCATAGAATTAAAAGTGAAGCCAAACAATAGTACTAGAATATTCATTAGGATTAGTAAGTAAAAATACTTTGCTAACGGATTTTTTTAATAAAGAAAATAATTTAAATAAGTTAATATTATGCAATTTCTCTTTGAAGAAGAAGATAACTAATTTAAAAAGTACAAAAGAATGTAGTATTGTTTTTAGTATTCATAATATTATATTCCACAAGTTGTATATTAATTTAACTAATACCTAAATAAAAAAAATCCTTATTCTTTAAAAAAGATAAATGATCTGTATGGCATAATCGAGAATTGTAACATAAACAGCAAAATCACGCTAATATTTCTGATTTTGACGTTTTTTGGAGGGCATTGTCTTTATAATTATTTAGTCTGACAAAAACAATTTTTTAGGATTTTTTCGCGGGTTTATTTTGATTTTTGATTCGTTTCGAATGCTTTACCGCAATCATGGTCACGGGAGAGACTAAAGTTTTAGACGTCTCAAAAGTTTAGTTCTTACAGAGCACCTATCCACAAAATTTTACAAGGATTTACAAAATTACAAAAATGATACCAAAGTAGATATTTTGTTCCTTATAATAATTGTTAATTTTAATTTTAGAGAAGTTTTATAGGCTTAATAAGTTTTATAGTTGAATATTAAAAAGTATTTATATATTTTAATTACTATGATTAAAAAATAATTATTTAAAATTAAAAAAAAACGTTAAAATCCGAAAAGATAGTTTTATTTAAGACGTTAAATATTCGCGTAAATGTAAGAGAGTAGTATTTAGCCTGACAATGAGATAAGAGCCTGACACGAGGTACTGGAACGTGTGCACTGTGCAGGGCTGCACTGGGTGTCGATGTTCCTGTGGCTGGTGTCGCCGCGCAACGCCTTCCACGGCGAGCGGCTGTCGCGCGCGCGCAAGGCGGCGCTGTCCGCGCTCGTCGCCATCGTCTACGTGTTCGCGTACGTCAACCTGTACGAGCGGAAGCATCGGCACAAGATGGTGTGTATACACCCCTTTTTAATGTCAATGCTGGGGGTGGGCCACAATACGAGGGGGATCAGGCCATAGTCCACCACGCTGGCCGAGTGCAGACTGAGCGTGTCTTTCGAAAACTTAATAAGTTCTCTCAGACGTGTAGGTTTAATCACAATTTTCTTTCACTGTAAGGCAAGTGGTAATCATGTTAGAAAGGATTCGCACATGAAAATAACAGAGCTGCGAGACCCGAGATTTGAACCCGCTTCACTCGGTTTCCCAAGTAAGCACGTTACCGCTGGACTACCATTTGCCTAGATGGTATACCGTCATCTATATTATATAAGTACAACAACTTTTTATCTGTTTGTCTGTCTGTTTGTTCCGACTAATTTCCGGAACGACTGGATCGATTTTGACAGGACTTTCAGTAGCAGATAGCTCATGTTATAAAAAGTCATTTAACTATTTTTATTTTAGTAAATGAATTAGGTTTCAGCGAAAAAGTAAATAAAACCCATAAAATTGTGAATAAAATGCGCGTCCAAGGAAAGCGAGGGTAAATCACTAGTATATACATACATAGAATGGAAAAGATTTTTGCCTTGACATGTCGTCACATAAAATAGATCAGTCTATATAGGACTGACCAATCGACGTCCGGCTGGCTTTAGACTGTTTATTTTTTGAATTCTACTCACTATTTTCTTTGTGATTTATTTTCATAAATATTTTTCCCGACAATAATAACAAAAGACGTTGCACTTTTATTTATTCATTTGTTATTTTATTTTTCATCTCTAGGCATCGAACAAAAAGTACTAGATACCCAATCAACGACAAAAAATGTCCTCACCAAATGAGCGCTTATTTGAACATTTGTGCGCTCTTTTCATTAAAACTTTATTTTGTGAAAACAACTTTAAACATTGCATTTAAGGTTTAATTTAAATTGTTGTATATTTATTTAAAGTAGAATACATAATTATTAATTACCTAAACACAAATTGTTGACAGTTTTAAGAGTACTTTTGCATGGAATTGTGTAATCTAGTACTTTTTTGATCGATGACTTTAGATCATTTGTGTACTAAATTTCATCTAAATCTGTCCAATCATTTCAATGCGAAGGAGTCACAAACATAAAAACACTTCCAAATAGCATTTATATTAGTAGTCACATGATGTTTATAACAAAACAGGCCCTATATTTGGCCAAAGATTAGTGCTTAAAAATCCAACAATACGTAAAGCAAAGTCAATCGTGATGAGTGGCACTATCATGTCCGGTGTGCAGGTGATATTCTACAGCGTGATGATGGTGGAGAACGGCGTGCTGGTGGCGGCGTGGTGGTGGTCGGGGCGCGGGCGCGCGCGCGGCCGCCTGCCCGCCGCCGCCGCCGCCGCCGCCGCCGCCGGCCTCGCCTTCATGCTGCTCTACTACAGGTATACTCACGTCCTCCCGATAAATGCCGATCACGGTTCGGCTGGACCGATTTTGATAACACTTTCACTGGCATCTGCCACTGCTACTGGCATAACTGGCAGCTATCTAGCTGAAATTAGGAGGAGTAACTTAGGCTACTTTTATTTTAGAAAAATGGTTTAGGGATCCGCGCAAAAAAATTAAAGCCCATGAAATTGCAAAAACAAAATCGAAAGTGAGGATAAGTCGCTAGTTTTAAATAATTACATAAATAAACAGTTCTTTGTCTAATTCTAAGTTAAAATGTTATCCTAGTCAAGTGTCAACGTGTCTGCCTAAACATAATGCTCGACTGACCACTATGTACACAATCATTAACGTCTAAAATGGTATTATATTTTTAGCCCCACTTTTGCTGTCTTAAACGCTCTGTCTATCTTAATTTGGGACATTAGACTTACAGCCCATATAACGTTTACTTATTTATAATATCTTACTTAAAAAACCTTTACAGACAGTTTACTTAAGAAATTTTATATTTAGTTCTTTTTTAACGAATGTGCTATTTATACTGACTGACTGATGTTTCATATTACTCAAACCTTTATAATTTAGTTTTTAAAATTTCGGATGTATCATGCGTTCAAACTTAACCAAAATCCATTTCATCTTTGAATGGAAATCTATACATATAATAAAATTGTAACTAAGCCGAATCTGTACATTAAATATTTTTTGGAAAATCTTATTGAAATAGACTTTATTATCGATACAGAGGCCGAATCTATAGTTTTTAGAATTTTTGTCTGTCTGTCTGTCTGTTACCGCATCACAGAAAAACTACTGGATGGAATTTGATGAAATTTGATATGAGCTGGTTATCCGGGTCAACATATAGGATACTTTTTTCCGAAAATATCTCATTTCTGAGAAAAAATACAAAAACTGTAATGAAAGAATATACTGATATTAGCGGGCAATGCTAGTATTAATATATAATTTAAAAAAAGCAGTCATGAGGACTGCCGACAGAGGTGAATACATAAAACTATAAACAAACAGTTGTTATTTTTGGACATTCAAATTAAGTAATTGTTTGATCTTAACTTAAAATTTGTAAATTAAAACTATTTGTTTACATTTATCTGGTTTTGATATTTATCGGCAATCTGGAGTGTTAGCGTTAACGTCACGTGACCATGTCGATGACGACTTACACGAATTTACTCCCCTTCCAAACCTGCCTATAGAAGTTTTCACTTCAATAAATAAATAAATACCTATAACATTATTGTGTAAGTACAAAGTAAAAAAAACCTTATTTTCAATGATTTTTTCAGATACTTCCACGTGCGCCGACTTGGCTACATGTTGGGGGAACACCAACAAGGCACGAATAGTACAAATGGCTCGACGCAAAACAAAAATGGTAATTTTTAGTCGTCCTTTGATTTTATTAATTTCCTTATTTAGCTCTTTATATTGAATTTAAAATGCGTTTTTTAGTTTATGTTTGATTTCCTTAGTAAAAGAATCTAAAGGGATTTTTTAGATGTACATGGCTGGTAGGTATGGGATATTGCTGGACATTGCTATTAGATACTAATCTCTTGCATTAAGCACATAGTGTTTTTCTAAAATCTAAATGAAACGCTGTTATAATTCATTTAAAATAGTTGTAGAAACCAGGTAATGGCACGCTCTCCATAGAAATGCTATGGAAATGCTGTTTATTGAATAAAATAAATATCTTTCGGACTTTACATGTATGTACTTTAAAAACTTGTTAGGTTCATCTAGACATGAAGGTTTCCTCAATATGTTACTTACCAAATTAACAATTGGTAATAATGTTTAAAATGATTCGCATATGAAAATAACAAAGTTGCGCGACTCGGGATTTGAACCCGCTTCAATCGGTTTCCCAAGCGAGCGCGTTTATTAGCAATTTTTTATCACATATATTTTATTGTTACAGGTAAATCGAATCAGGGCGACAACGCCGCCATACCGGGTGTGTTCAACTGCAGGTTCTCAAATCCTGTAAATAGTAGGTAAGCTCTAGGTATATTTGACAAACTTAAAAAAGGAGAAAGTTTTTCCTACTGTAATATAAAGCTCTTCAAGGTTTGTGACTTTAGGTAGACTTTACCATCAATGGGTTTGTTCCATCATGTACTAAAAATATAAATAATTCGCTCGTTATGCTGATTAGTTATTCAAAGATTGATAGCTGATTTTTTAAGAGTTCGTTAATAATGTTATCCTGGAGGCAAGACGTTTTCGACTACGACGGTCATTCTCACTGAGACTAACCAACTGCGCAGGAGATAATATTTCGGTCATTCATAATTCGGTGGGACTATACTTAAAGACATGTAATGAGATATCAGGCCCAAAACAGACGGATTCACGTGTTGTCCGAGCCACGGGGGTGAATCTCGTGAATCATCGTCAACTGTTCTGTTGTTACTAAGAATTTCTTAACAGAAAAACTCAATGGAACTTGAATCCAGGATCGTCAGTCAGTCACGGTACATGCTAGCCTTAAGACCACTGAAGCAATTAAATTAAAAAAAGTAAATTAAAAAAAGATAACAAGTTAATATTAGTCCCGCTGAGTTTCTGTCGCCAGTTCTTCTCAGGTCTGAGGCTTCTTCTTTCCGAACTGGTAGTAGACTCATGACGTTCAGTAAAAAATTGTATTAATTTAATGCTGAATAAAATATTTCGATTTGATTTGAATTACATTAATAATACTTTCTTAGACTTACGCGAATATTTAACATTTTAAATAAAACTATCTTTTGGATTTTTTCGTGGATTTATTTTGATTTTTGGTTCTCGACTTTTCGAATGTTTTACAGCAATGGTTAAATGGTCAAAGGAGAGACTAAGGTTTTAGACGATAGCTTTACCTACACAAATATAATATTTTAAAGAGGAAAGATTTGTATTTTTGTATGTTTGTAACGAATAAACTCAGAAACTACAGAACCGATTTAGAAGAAATTTTGTAAAAACATAGTTTGAGACCCTGGGAAGGACATAGGATGTTTTTTATTCTGGATATCATCCCTTTAAGGGGGATGAAAGTTTGTTTGGGTAATCAACCTAATAATATATAATAAATAAAGTAATAATACTTTGTCACCGTACAGTGCAGCAAACGGTAGGAAGAAGAAGAAGCCGACGTCGTTCGTGCCGCCGCCGGCCGCGCCCGCGCCCGCCGCCTTCTGGCGCAGGCCCCTGCCCGCCGCACACAACCACCATGTGAGGAGAACAATCCATACTCTTATGACTAAATATTAATTAAGTATAGATAAAATAATAAACAGCAAGATATGTATGTATAATTTGGGAGTAGGTAATATATGTAACGGAACAAACAGACGGACAGACAAAAATTTTAAAATTGTTTTTTTTTTCAGATTTCGTATTGCTTCTGAATTTAATCTATATCAATATTTTAATGTAATTTCTTTTTGATTAAGAAAATAATTATTGAAAAGTGCAAAAATAGGTGGGAAATTCAAAGTAGTTGAAACGCAACGCCATTGGTCAGACCGACTGTGACGTCTTAGAGACTATTATAATAAAGCACTGTTGTTTATTGTTTGCGATTGGTACTAACAATGTAGACCTGTTCACTCGTTGATGGCGATGTTGTCATAGACTGTGACGTCACGCCGAGCGCGCCGAAATGGTATGAAAGTATGATGATATTTTAAAATTATTTTGTTTATACTAATATATTTTTTTGGAGTTGGATATTCTTTTACAATTATATAACGATGTAAGTTATTATATAAAAAATAGAAAAATATCTCGCATATTCCCAATGGATATATTTACCACAACAAAAAATTCTTCTATGAAAAATTATTAATCGGGTATTTTAAAAATAAAATATAAAATATCTTTATGTATGGATGGTAAAAATATTTCCAATGGCAATAACAAGCAAAACCAATTTGGACGGTTGAAAGTCATCATTTGTTTATAATGATGGGCCTGTTTAAAAATTGTAGATTACAAAATTAAATACCTACTTTAAACGTAGCTCCAAAATAATCATATTAAATAATTATAGGGCGGTTCTTCTGAAAACGAAGGCTCGAGCGTCGGCTCGCGCGTCAACATTCAACAGAAATTACAAGAGAAGAAACAAAAACAACTCGCAGAACTAAGGGTCATAGAAGAGGAAATAAAACAAGGCAAATTAGCCAAAACTACGCCAGTTGCAGCGGAAGAGATATACAGTAGCCTTCAAAGGCAACCCATACCAAGGGCCAAGACTCACGCGGAGCCGCCGGCCTGGCCCAGTATAGAACTCGCACACTCTTACCAAAACTATCCAGTGTTATCACACTCCTGCAACCTTTACCCGACTTACATAGAAATAAAACAAGAATATAATACCAACTTCCCATCTGAAACCACAAACGATAAAACCAACTTTGTCCGACCGAACATTTACAATCAAGATAGAACTTTCTACGAAAATCCCGCGAATTTACGCAACGACAGACCAGTTCGAACCCACAACTACCTGCCAATACCTGAGAATAGGAAATACGAAGCAAATGTATGCAGAAGTCCGAGAAATGTACTCAACAGTAGCCCCAGAAGCTATCTTCCAGATACCACAAATAATTATGAAGCAAACCAAAATAGGATACAAAACCAAAATATATACGAGGAACGGCAGAATATTCCAGAATTTTCATATGAAGATCCTCAATATGGCAAATACGGCGACAATAAAGAAGAATATGTGGCAGCTTTGAACGCCTTAAATGGGGTGGATAATATTCGGGGCATGTACAGTGAGGGATGTAATCAGTATAACCAGAATTGTGATAGGTTTTATCCCGGTATAGGGAAAAAGGATAGGAAACAAAGATGTCGGACGCCGGAGATTTTGTTAGCACCACATTATTTAGAAGGGTGTAACAGACAGGTCTGCTGTAATTGGGGAGCTCCTTATACGTAAGTATTTTTATGGTCAATTACATTAAGGCAGTGGTAGTTCAGTAGCGAGGCGCTCGCTTGGGAGTGAAAAGCCAGTTCAAATCCCCGATAGAGACATAAAAATTCCTTTTGAATATTAACAATTTTATTGCTTTCAGTAGTTTTTGTAATTTACAACATTATATACAGACAGCGGCATCTTTTGACAAAATTTATTACCACTTGTCACTCAAATTCATAGTCTGTAGACTAAACTTCGTCCAAATCTGTAGTCGTTACAGCGTCCCACTGCAGGGCAAGGGCCTTTATTGTTCTTCCATTGCACAATTAACTTACATAAATGATTTTAATGTTTAACTAAACAGCTAATAAAACATATCGTTACAAATAAACAATTAGTATAAGCTTGTATCGTGTGTCGGTCGCAGTAACAGAAAGAAGGAGGAGTGCCCGCCGGCGGCGGCCAGCAGCGGCAGCGAGTCGGCCGCGCGCGACACGCCGCGCCCGCCCAGCGACATCGACAGCCAGGCGAGTGTAGGCACACACACACACACATACCCACACTCAGGGCCGAACTAACCATGTCGGGGGCCCTTAGGCAATGCAAATCTCGGGGCCCTTTCACCCCTTTTCTAACTTAATAAAATACATTTTTTTTACCACAATGCAATTATATTCATAATTACGCTATAAGGTAGATTTTATAAAAATGTAACTGTAGTATTTGTCCTCATGGTGGAATTTTAACCTCATTTCTTAATTTTTCCAGTTAAATTTTCCCTCGATTAAACATTTTCAATTTTTTTCTCAGTGCGTGGGGCCCCTAGGCGATGCGGGGCCCATTAGCCCTAAACTGCCTTATGGATAATCCGGCCCTGCCCACTCACACTTCCACGCCCCCACATACACACACACGTACACATATGCATGCATATACACATATAAACGCATGCACACAATATGTATCGGGTCGTCTTCTCATATCAGCGCTTATTTGTCCAAATGACCAATTTACTGAAAGAGTTTTTATACACTTTTAAATAGCAATTCTGGTTGGTGGAGGGTAGTGCTAACTGTCAACATCAGCTCTGTGTTTTTTCTCTGAATTTATATTAAAAAACATACAGTTAATGTGTAATTCATCGCCAAAAAGTTAGATAAGTGTTTAAATACTAAAGTCATAATGAACGTCGGAACAATAAACAGTAAATAGTGAAATAATTTTTTGATAGAAACATTCATATAAAAAAGTGACTTTTCGACTTTTTCATATAAAAAAGACTGCCCATACTGGAGTGTTATGTGACTCTGTTTATCGCTTAATTAATAAGGACAGTGAGAAATGAACAAAAAGTGACATAAATGAAGTCAAAATACAAGTAGCACATAAAAAATAAATAAATAGTTAAATAGCACTTTTCTCTCAGTGTTGAACTATAAGAACTGAATTAACTGTGAAGTGAACCCAAACATATCTGCTCTGCATTCTATCAGGTCTGTCTTTAACCTCTAAAAAACATTTAAAACGGACATAACCTTAATTTCCACATACATTCTAGTCATATGGAATTGTTACAAATTAGCTAAATAAGCGCCATCTCACGGTTAGAGTCTGAACTACATCGTCAGACACTAAGCATAGATCCATTAAAAGATCCAACACATTATTACTACCTAGCCAAGAGCTTTCACTACCAACCTCAAGAGGGCGCTACGTGTACCAATACTATTAACTTTAAATATCATGGACGAAATTTTGAACGCACTAAAATCAATAAAAAATGATTTGGACAATCAAAGACAAGAAATCCGGGAAACAGGAAAGAATGTTACAGAGCAAGTCACACAGAATATTAGCAGGATATTTGAAGAAAAATTTAAAGAAATAGAAAAATATCATGAAAATCTGAAGGAAAAAGTGGAAAACCAGGAAAAAAGGCTACATGATTTAGAAAGACAAGCAAGAAAAAATAATCTGGTATTTTTTGGCATAGAGGAGAAAGAAAAATCGTACGAGAGCTTAGAAAGAAACTTTATTAATTGGGTGGAACAACATCTCTCTGTAAAAATAAGCTACAGCGACATTCAAGAAATAAAAAGAATAGGGAAGAAAGAAGAAAGAATACGCCCAATAGTCGTGACTTTCTTAACTCTAGGCACAAAAATAAAAATTATGAAACAAAAAAGAGCATTAGAAGATACAAATTACTACATCAAAGAAGACTATCTAAAATACGTACTGGAGAAGAGAAAGGAACTACAAGAACAACTACAATTGGAAAGAGAAAAGGGAAATATAGCCAAAATTATATACGACAAACTGATTATATCGAAAAACAACACTAAACGAAAATTGCCTACCTCGCCCGAAAACAGCACTGCAACCAATGTAGAGAAGAATACACAAACAAATAAAAAGAACAAAACACAACAAATAGGTGATTCGGCCAAGAGGTCTAGCAGTTTTTCAGAGGGAGTCATAAAACAGGGAATACTAAGCTATGTAGTCAAAAATACAACGAATAAGAATAATATCCAGAATAAAAAACTATAGCAACTAAGCGCCTCCTCCACCAACACAGAGCAAACAACACACACAAATATAAACAAGAAAAATACATAATCTTCCAACCCGGCTGGTCACCGTGGAAGAGTACGACCATAACCCTCCAAAGTTAGACACCACAATAACAAAAAGCAAGAATAGATCAAGAAAGTTGCAGGCCCAAGCTGGTGGCAAATAGTACAGGATAGAGAGAAGTGGGTACCTATCTTTGGAGGAGGCCTTTACCCAACCTGGGGACCTTGATTAATGCAAAAAAAAACTAGAAATTAACCGCTTAGTATAATTTAGTATGTATTAATCAAAAAAATTATTATAATAATAATAATAAGTAAGTATACCTAGCAATTAAAAAGACACTAAATTTAGTAATTAGCAACTAAGATTACACCTTACAACTAGAATTACTGTAGCTTGGTCAAATAAAGGCTTTTTATTTATTTTTATTTATATAAATAGCAATTCTATTAGTATACTCCTCAGGTAAAAATGTACTTTATCTATATATGTACAATGTACATAAATAAATCTTAAAAATTAAGCTTTGTTTTTAAAATAGAAAAACACAAAATATTTACCGTTTAAACAAATAAGCATTAAGGCGTATCTACAATATATGAGTAAATATGTACCTAAGCTACAATGGACCATAACTGGTCGACCTAGCTAGGGCCGACCTCGGCACCACACCCAATAAAAATAAATAAATTAATGTATACCTACCTATATCTACAGAGACAAACCTTCATACAACTGCTCAACGAGTACGCTGTTGATAATCTCAGGTTTCAACAAAAACGCACATGACACCGACTTATACTATAGGTAGCTAACCTATACCTATATTGTTGCACGGCTGTATGAAGCTCTGTCTCTTTAGGGATATTTTCTCATCTGCCTCAATTCAACACTTGCAGAGCTACTTGTTGATTATGAAAAAAAAACAATAAATATGTGCTACAGAAATATAATTTATATAAACTTTATATTTTCATTTCATAATGTGGTTAATTTACCGTAAAGTTTGTTATACATGAATATTGGCAGTGACAAATTTGAATTAACATTTTGTTCAATGTTTAAATTACACCAAAATAACAATATTACAATCATTATAATGTCACATGAAAGAAAAATATATAATAATAATAGTGTTGTATGTGGACGTCCGGTAGATCTCCCTCCCGCGCTCGTACACGCTGCCGCGCGAGTTCCGCTACTGGCGGCGCCGCCCGCGCGCGCCCAGCAACAACAGCAGCGACGGTGAGGCACACACACTTACATATGTATATATATTGTACACAAATTGCATAATCACGGGAATAAATCTCCTTTTATCAGCAAGATATTGTATATATAATGATTGATGCCAATTGTTTAAAAAAATACATTCAAATAGTGTTGAAACCGATAGTTGTTTGGCCGAATATTTGATCTTTTGTCACATCGCATGTTGCGACAAGTGCTTATGTTATCGGTAAAATTTGTGAGTAACTATTTAGTGTTATCGTGACTTAAGCTACGATCTCACATAGCGAATTCTCGTGGCGAGTGCCAATCAATCATTAATTTATACAAAAATAAATTCCAAGCAGAAATCAAACTTGCAACTTTCGGGATAACAAACTTAATATTAAATATTATATTATAATAAAATATACCCTCTAATATCCACAAGCGTATTTGTGTTATACGATACTAGCAGTACCCGCGGCTTCGCTCGCATTCAAATTTCCGATCGCTACCACACTTCATAGGATAACCCGCTGGGCTAATCTAAAGATTGCCTGAAAATTTTATCAAAATCGCTCCGGCCGTTTTGGAGTCCATAGTGAACATACACACATATTTTTATACACATATGTACCCACATATATAGATATGTACTTTATTTATTTAAATGAATGTGTCCGTGTGTATGCCAGGCGACGTGGACAGCGCGGACAACGACAGCGCGCACTCGCACTGCTCCGCCTCCTCGCAGCACGACTTCGCGTACGAGCGCCGCCGCCCGCGCCGCGCGCGCAAGCTGCCCAAGCCCGAGACCAAGCTGTGACCACACCGGTGTATGGACCATACACACTCTTCTTAGTCGTCTCAGTCTTGAAAAACAGGTTAAATTGATGCTGTGGCCTTATACACAAATACCACAGTATAAAAATCCATACGGTAGGCGATTGCGTATTTTAACGAAAATACAGGGGTTGTCGAAATATACCAATTTTCATGGCGAACGGTTTCGAAGTTAAAGCGCTGTAGTGCTGTCTCCTGGCGAGTTACAATAATTATACTCGACAACCTTAAGCGTATACCTGAAGTCTTCGGTGAATTATCACACATTCTATGTTATGAAATTTCGTCTCTGTAAGTATACTTACTCATTTGACAGTATGTACGTAATTTTCTGTTATCGTTGTTATCATTCGTCATATCAAAGTTCAACCCCTTAATTCATATCCTTTTAAAATTAGTTCATACTTTCATATATCCGTCCATTCTTGTATTAACTTCCTGTTGTTATATCTTTTTGCTAAACACACAAACTAGGTCGATTTTAAGAAAACTTTGTTAAAATAAATGCATTTTTATCTGGCTTTGTTAATAGTAGCTAAATGTTATAATAGAACCCTGTTTTATAATATATAATAAAGTATGAAGTTCAGTCCATGTCGGACCGATAAAGTTTTAGATAAATTATAATATGTAAACTCTATGAAAATATAAAGTATTTTTGTACTATATTAGCTTTAAATTGTGGTTTCATATTTAACTTTTTTAATCATTTACAATTAGTTGAAAGCATAGATATAGACAGTGGACTGAGGGTTTCTTTATCAGCCGTCAGATGAAAATAGCAGAAAGGCGCGACAGAGACAAAACGAATGTGCGGCCACAAGTCCTCTATTAATTGAAATATGATTAATGAGGATAGATATTTATAACCATTGTCGCATTCTACATTCAATATTATAAATGTGAAAGTGTGTTTGTTTGTCCTTCTTTCACGTCGAAACGGAGAGACGGATTGCCGGTTTTTTTTGTGGAGATAGCTAAAGGGCAAGACAGTAACTTAGTCTACTTTTTACCGCGGGAAATTATCTAATTCCCACGAGAAAACACGTTTTAATATAATCCAAAATAATATTTCTGATCAGAATTACTTGAAACTTGGTGTTAATGCTCTTCAATAAAATTATATAAATACGTGTTTTAGTATTTTTCGAAATTCGTCCTATAAGGGGGTAAAATAGGGGAAAGTTTGTATGAAACTACCTTTTTAGAGATTTTTTTGTAGTTTTAGCGCGAGCTAAGCCGCGGGTTCTGTTAGTATTATTATAATTTTCAATAATATTATATATTTTTTATTCCATTTAAAAAATCAAATTGGATTAAAAACAAGTATTGGCTGCACGTTTGCTTTCTCTATTTCTAGAGAGTGGTCAATATCATGAGATTTGTTCAGTCCATTCTCTACATCTATAAAACCAGATAAGGACTTTCAAATAACAGTGTAATATAGTCTTCAACCGTTTCAAGTTTCAAACATTCCATTTTTCTTAAATATCTTGCCATAAGCACTTTACCCAACATTGTCAGTTGTTCATTTGAATAATCTTCATTATAGATATTTTGGTGTTATTTTCCAATAAAAATAAAGCAATTTATTTATTTTTATATAATTATGAAAGTGCCACAGTCATCAATATAAAATGCTCAAGTAAATGTTATTTTAAAATAAGAGTACGATTATGTATTTATACTTAAATGTATAAAGATAACTTCTCATTTACAAACTAATTTATATGTACTTTCTGTAAGATACAAGAAAATAAAAACAGATTTGGCTTTAAATTAAGCAAATATGAGAACTTTTAGATTATAATTATGTAATTTTGTTTTTATATTATAGAAATTCTACACTTCATAACTGTAAAAGAATGAAAATATAAAACTTTTATAAAAAGAACAAAAAGATCAATAAAAAGAACCATAGAATTTCTATAATAAAAAAATAGCATTAAGTGTAGATAACCAGTCAATTTCTAATGTTTAATCATAGATTATTTTAATGCCTCAATACTAATTTAATTCGATGAATGTACAATCAAGTCTTAAATTTGTATACTTGTACTATTGTATATTTGTATATTTATATAATTAGGTGTAAGAAAGAAAACACAAAATATAGACATTTCAAACTTATTTGCTTTATTATCTATATTCCAATTGTAAAAGGGGAACCAGTCACTCTATCACTCCGTGTCCACTACATCTCTACTGATCTCGAGCCATTTACACGATATAAAGAAACATCAACCGAAATAAGGTTAAAATTCACAAATACACATTTAATGTTGATTAAAACTATCTTAGAGCTAAGCGGAACGTCGCGCGTGGAGGCGTCGAGTCGCGTCGCGGCTAGTGATGGTCGATCGATTCATTGACTACAATCGATTAATCGGAATAGGGACGTATTCGAATGATCGTCCGATTAAATCGTCCATCTCTAGCCGGGACACGGCCGCGTCCGCGTGCGCCGGCCCGGTAACCTACTTGTTAGCTCACCACGGACCTAGCGACGGTTCGGCCACGATACACTTAAATTATTAATAGAATACGAACGAGCACCTCAACTGAACGAATTCAAAACCTATAAATATATAAGCGAGTAAACTCGGGTGCAAATTAATCATGGAAAAACATTATTGCACAAATCAATAGAGACACGACGGCTGCGTTCTGTGATCGACGGGAATATAACGCCCTCATTCGGGGCTCGACCGACCACGTACGGGAACAGCTCGCATAGTTCTGAATCGATATAAGCGAAAGCGCACTACCAATGTGCAGTCCCGTGTATTTACACATCCTAAAGTACACTTAACCGAACCTAACAGTCGCGATAGTGCCAGACTGTGAATTATAAATTATAATTACAGCCTAAGTTAGAAAAATAATCTTACATTCCACACTAGAACCGATCAACATAGTTTGTACAGACATACTGGGTCTAGCTAGGCGTCGCGTCGCGTATGCCGCGGGTTCGAACCGCTCAATTTGTACAACATTCGATGCTTACAATTAGAAAATAGGTGAATATGCGTACGTGTGGAAACGAAATGGTCCCGACGCGGTACTCGAACGATGCTATGAGAAGGGAGGTCGTTAACAAAGTATATAAAAATAGATAGAAAACAACAGTGAACAAAATAAAGTGGTGTGTTTTATATTATTCTTAAGGCTATGACAGTGCCGGTCCGGCGCGGCCGCGCGTCCTGGCGGCCCGCCGGCGCCGGCTGGCGGCCGAGCGCACCGCTCACGATGATATGAGCTGCACACACAAACATACACACACATTTGTATCACGACAATATTATATATAATCAATATCAATATTAAACTTATTAAAAATAAATTAAAAAAAAAAAACAATAAAGCTTTATCTCATCAATTTTAAATATTTGCAATGTTAAAAAACAAATTTCATAAATAAAGTTAGCTTACACTACAGAAGTAATGGAAAATGCTAACAAAATATACAACACAAAAAGCATGCAAAAAAAATATAAAAAATCTCGTCTACCTGGAAAATAAAAGCGGGCGTTCCATTCCACTTGATATGAGATATTTAATTTTTTTCATAATATATTATTATTGTAATAATATATAACTATGTCCGTTTATAAACTATAGGTATGCTACGTAGACTACACTCCGCCCTTAACGCCTAACATCTTAAATACACTGCAACAAAATAAAAAAAACTCTAAATATATGTATACTAATATAATTTGAATAAAACATCAATTTTTTACATGATATTTTAAATCCATCATATTAGTTTTATATAAAACAAGTTTCAGTAAACAAAAATAAAAAAGCAAAAAATAAACAGCTCTTATTGCAAATAGTCCTTATAGCCGACAATATTTTAAGATATGAATATCTAATAGGTAAATAAATATATATTTTAAGTAACGAAATATATTAGATTTGCTTTGCATCGCCTGGCACCGACTTCGAATATATATGTTTAGGTATCTATTCTAAATGAAAACCCCTGTTTAGTTATTTTTTACATTTTAGTGCCTGGAAGTCAATTTTTTTTTTAATGTTTTATTTTTCCATTTTCAGTGTAGACGTATTAAGCAGGTAATTTGTAAGAAGAAAGTTTATTAATAACATATTCGATTAAACAATTTATTTAAAAACAATAATTTATTGTAGATTTTTTTAAAACTGCTCGACCGATTTCGACCTGGGAAGTATACCCTTTAAAACAAAACAAAATTTTTCCTAATCGGCTCAGGTGTCTTCGAGAAATCACTGAACATACATAAAAAAAGGGTTAAGACGAATTGAGAACCTCCTCCTTTTTGGAATCTGTTAAAAATATATACAAATAAAACTAAATATTCATATAGAACTACATAGGTATCTAGTATATATGTATGTCACTAACCGATTTGACAGTAGCCTTGATGAAGTCCTTCTTGTGCGCGAGGTCGAAGTCCGGGTAGTGGCTGTACACCTGCTTGCACACCGTCTTCATCGTGATCTGCTCCAAATTAGCGCCCTCGAGAATTTGCTTCACATATTTTTTGATCTCTTCATCCTACATACAAATATTTTTTTTTTTTTAAACCTTTCATGCAATCATCACAAATATAGTGAATATCTACTATACATATATGTAATTAAGCCAAATCTGTACATTAAATATTTTTTTAAAAATCTTATTGAAATAAACATCATTATCGATACAGAGGCCGAATCTATAATTTTTAGAATTTTTGTCTGTCTATATCATCATAGAAAAACCACTGGAGGGATTTTGATGAAATTTGGTATGGTGAAAGCTGGTTATCCGGGTCAACATATAGGATACTTTTTTATAAAATGTCTCATTTCTGAGAAATAAATACAAAAACTACAATGTAAGTGTACTAATATGTAAAACCTAAGAATTTGGTTTTTGGTCATCTGAACGCGGGCGGAGCTGCGGGCAATGATAGTCAATTGATAAGTGTGTTTGTTGTAAATAATGCTATATCCCAAATAAATAAAATTAATTGCCCAAGTAGTATTGTGTGAGCATTGAATTTTTTAATTAAATAAGGTTCCATATTTTACACACTGTATTTTTATCTAGCAATGTAAGTTAAGAGAAACTATTGAAATGAATGAAATTGAAATGAAAAGGGCTTATGTCACATACAAATTAAGTATTAGGGATATGTATTTGTTTCTAAATGTAACAGTCCTTGCACTGTAATAATACATTATACGAAAAGCAAAGAGGTGGAGGCTACTCACCGTAGGCGGCCGTTTAGCTTTCTTATCTGCGGGTGTATCGGAATCCTCTCCACTCTCCTCCTCCTCGCTACCCTCTTCCTCTTCGTCCTCTTCACTGCCCTCACCAGATTCTTCAGAGGACGCCTTCTTACCCTTCTTAGCTGGCCTTCCTACTGGCTTGGCGCCAGCCTTCTTTTTGCCTAATAGTATTAAATAAAGATTTTGTTAATTTAATTTCATACGATGATTTGTAGTACAGTCAATAATATAAACACGAATAATCAAATTCTAGAACAAAAACTAAACAAATTTTATTATTTTTATTCGATTTAAGTAGCCTTACGAATTTTATTAAAATATCTTTTTACTAATTATAACTTATAATACATAAATGAGCAAGCTGTGGTCTCCTATAAGTGAAGGAGCACACATGTTGCGAGTCTTAATTGTTTATGTTTTTAAATGACGATGTATGTATATAGTGTGTACCTTTTGTTGGAGAACCTAAATAAAATAAAATGAAACAGTTCTATCTGCCTAATTAATAAATTAAATTAACAGTCTTACCTCTCAAGCAGCTAAGCGAGTGTGATATTTGTTTGAAATTTGAATTCAATATAACATTGCCAGTGTGTATAACATAGTTACCTGGCGGCGTAGGCGCTTTCCGCTTGGCGGGTGTGGCCTTGGCGCTAGCCTTGGCCACGGCGCCCTTGCGGCCCTTGCCCACCGCGCCCGCCGCGGCCGCCGGCCGTCCGCGCTTCGACTTCGGCTCCTATTCACATATATACAATGTCAGCAAACTCATCCACCATTGATCACTCATCGGGTACATCCAACTAGTATGTAAAGTGAAAGTTTGTATTTTGTGTCTGTACTCTGTAATAACTATACGATGCCTTTGAGACGTCTAATACCTTAGTCTCTACCGTGACCATGTGCGCTGTAAAGCATTTGAAACGTCGGGAGCCAAAAAGCAAAATAAATCCAAAAAGATAGTTTTATTTAAAATGTCAAATATTCGCGTAAATCTAGAAAAGTATTATTTAGATCAAATTGCGACATAAACGTTAGACATTAATTTCTGTACTGTTGACACTTTTACGAAATTTAGTGTCCGAGTAGGGTATGTACTAGAAATGTGCCGACTAGTCGGCACAGTATACTATAGTCATAATAATAATAATGAATATGTAACTCACATCAGACTCCTCCGCGTCGCTGCCAGACTCCGCTTCACTCTCACTCTCGGACTTGTCGCTCTCGTCGTCCGATTCTGATTTCGCCTTCCTACCTCGCCCTCTCGTGCTCTGCTGTACCGGTTAAAATTTATTTTATTGCATATATTAGGTTTCAAAATATTTAATATATACAATTTTAAGAGTATTTTATTAAAATTTCAATCATACGATTATTTTGTTAAATTGAAAAAAAAACATAATACTATGATTTCCGATAGTTTTTGTTCCCGACGACGCGACATTCAAAATCAAGGAAAAAATCACTGCAATAAAATCCAAAAAAATCATATATTCGCGTGAATGTAAGAAAAATTTGTTATCTTTTATTAATCCTAATATTTGTCATGTATGCAATATAAAGGAAATTCGTAGGATGTAATTAAGTATGTAACTTGAAAACAGTTGGACCAACTTGGCTAAATCTGTTTTTAAATGATTTGTAATAAAAAGTTTAATAGAGCTTTACTGGGAAATCAATTAAAAATTCGGGAGAAACTAAGTGCTTTTATCTATAGAATATTTGTATTAACCATAAATAAAATTTGAAATAAAAACAACGTCTATCGGGTCAGCTAGCTTTAGATAAAGCTATTTTATCGGAATTTTTGACGGTTTCATTTTGATTTTTATCTCTTTCTAAACGTCAGGAACCAATATCAAAATGCGAAAACAAACACAAGCAACATTCAAATGTTATAACCAGGGCCGGATTCAACCTTAACGCCGCCCTTGGGCATAGTAAAAAATGCCGCCCTATTATCAAAATGTTGCATAAAATGGGTAAAGTTAAGATAAAATATTTTTTTTAATTATTAATTTTTTGAAAAATGCAAAAAAATAATTTATAAATGATTTCAATTTTTCGAAAAATGTACTAAAGGTTTTTTTTAATTATTCATTTTTTTGGAAAACAAAAAAAGCATTTTCGATAACGCGAAGAAAAAAAATTTCCCATCCTCCCAATTTTGCCGTCCTAGGCACTAGTCCCGAGTCCCCCGTCTAGAGCCTCTAGTGTAAAGCTAGCGCTGGTTATAACCGTACACAACATAGCACAATCATAGCATCACCTTGCCCTTCTTGCCCTTGCTCTTGCGGCCGCGCTTGCCGGGCCTGCCGCTGGAGCGGCGGCGGCCCGAGCTCTTGCGCTTGCGGCCGGGCCCGCTGGCGCCCTCGCCGCCCTCGGGGTCGAAGTCCGAGTCCGCCTCCGACCCGCTCGGGTTGAACGAACCCTAATACATACATACTTATATTATAACTAGCAGAACCCGCAACTTCGCTCGCAAAAAAACGGTCCCAAAACTACAAAAGATCTCTAAAAAGGTAGTTTCATACAAACTTTCATCCCCTATTTTACCCCCTTTTAAGATGAATTTCGAAAAATGCTAAAACATGTATTTAATTTAATTGAAGAGCATAAAATACTAAACATTAAATACAACAAACAAACACATTTTCACATTTATAATGTTAGTATGGATTGTGAATTTGTTTGTTTGTTTGTCCCTCTTTCACGTCGAAACAAAGTGACGGATTGACGTGATTTTACTCGAGAGTGACATAGTCTACTTTTTATCGCATAAGATTATCTCTTTCCCACGGGAAAACACGTTATAATACTACTCATAACAACTCATCATACCTACGTAATATACGTATACCCGAGCGAAGCGAGGGTGACTACTGTTACTCACGGTATCACATCAGCAAAGGTGTGGTTTGAATTATTATGTTATTTAAAAGGAAAATGCTTTCAAACTTATTTTAACAATACAACCACATTTTTAATAAATAACTTACACTATGAATAAATTCATTATATCTATAAATATTTCTTATCACTGTAGCCTGAACGCTTCTCCTTTGAACTCAATTAAAATGTCCAAAATAATGGCAAATAATTTTGTTAGAATAAGGAGCGAACACTACAGTATGCGTATTATAACTGCACACTTCTAAAATACGGTTTAAATGGCGGCAAATGGTTTTTATGCGCGAATACCAACAATGGGTTCGCAAAGATGAGTATTTCAGCCATGTTAACGTTGTATGTACACGTATATTCAACTCCAGATATTTTTTTTTGTTTTTATAGGGTTTTTTTACAAAGCGAATGTGTTCTCCTTACACATAGTGTTATAATATCTAATCACTCACATCTGAATCCTCTGATCCATCCTTTGCTGGTTTGGGACCTTTGACTTTAGTCTCTGGGTCAGTTTCATATTCTTCATCTGAATAGCCTGGGAACAAATGTTTTCATTAGTATTGTATAATTGAAATAAACATTTTTCTCAACTTTTTATAAAATTCCGTCACCGACACAAACACGACCATTATCGGACGATGATGGTCGTGTGTGTGTACGCGCTCTCTTTCTTTTACAAGTGTTTGATTCAATCGTCCGAGAAGACTTCGGCCGATGACGGATTAGGTGTACGCGAGCTTTAAGATAGGTCACCTCGGTTGTGTATCTTGACGGCGGCGGAGCGGCGCGGGCGGCCGCCGGGCGTGGCGGCGGGCGCGGCGGCGGGCGGCGCGCGCGCCACGCCCCGCGCGTGCGGCGAGTTGGCCGCCGGCTGCTGCAGGAACGCCACCAGCCGCGCCGCCAGCTCGCTCGCGCCACCTGCCGGGACGACGGTACGCGTTGTACTTTACACTAGACAGTTTCTCCTCCATTATAAAAAGAAAGCTTCATTTCTGAGATTTATAATATGTATGTATTGAGCCCTTTTTAACGTCCCACTGCTGGGCACGGGCCTCCTTTCAGTACGAGGGGGATCAGGCCATAGTCCACGCTGGCGGGTTGGCGGACTTCACATGTCTTTCGAAAACTTGCTAGGTTCTCTCAGACATGCAAGTTTCCTCACGATGTTTTCCTTCACCGTTGAGACAAGTGGTAATCATGTTGGAAATGATTCGCACATGAAAATATCAGAGGTGCGATTACCCGATTCACTCGTTTTCCCAAACGAGCGCGTTACCACTGGGCTACCACTGCCTGAGATTTATATATTATGTACATAATATATACGTATATAAAATACACTTTTTCGGGTGTAGTAAAATAGCGGATGTGTATTTTATACAAATAGAATTGACGTTTAAATGTTAACAATTCTATTATAAAAAAACTATAAATCGACTGTTTGGACAAAATAGTAAATGTGTTTATATCAAAAATGGATAGCTTGAATCGTGTTGAAGATAATTGTCAAGGTAATCAATAATCATGTCTAAACAAAAGGTTATAATGATATTACGTATATGGATGGTGAGATGGATGGAGGAAAAAGATCATTCTTATAAAAAAAACTAGCGACTCACCCTCACTTCGCTCGGGTTAGTCCCTAGTTACGCTTTAACATTAAGTGTAGATTTCTCAGAGATGAGATATTTTCCCACAGTGAAAAGTATCCTATATGTTGACCCGGATAACCAGCTATCGTTATACTAAATTTCATCAAAATCCCTCCAGTGGTTTTTTTGTGATGCAGTAATAGACAGACAGACAAAAGTCTATAAATGTATAGATAAAAACTATATGTATGTGTTTATTTTATAAGTGGATTCAATTAAATACGTACGAAGTTGTAGAGTTGAAAGAGAAGTGAATTTAGATATAAAATAAAATAACCTATCCTAATAAGTAAAAAGCGAATAATAGTGGTAGTTACTAAAAACTTAGTAATTTAACACACCTATTCGATTTCTCAACAAAAACATAATAAAATCTTTGTTTCTTACAAATATTTCCGTAAAAAAACTATTACATTACCTTTTTTGTCTAAATCTAACATTTCACACATAGTACGGAGTTGTTTCATCTCCATCTTGGCCGTTTCTTCCAACTTGGCCTTGTATTCTGTAGAGCCGATAGCCCATTCGTAGCCTTTGAATTTCTTAATGTTACGCTTTACGTTACGGTCTAAGCAGAGTTGCTATAACAAAAATTTTAATATTAATTTTTACACAATTATTTACAAAAGTTGTGTCTAATTTAACGAATAGTTAAATTGAAAAAAAAAATTTTAAAGGTTACTAATAGAAAATATACGCGATTTTTTTTAATTTTTTATACAATAACTAAAAAAAATCAACTTCAAAAAACTACAATTTACTATATATTTTTTTAAATATCATACCTCATACCAATACGGATAATTTAAGCGCCCGCCATTTAGCGCGCTTGGCGTGACGTCACAGTATGATATATACCGAAAAATAACGACTGAATTTCTAGCGAACATAATCGCTTTTCGTTTCAAATGCTTTGAATTTCTCACCTATATTTGCACTTTTTAATAAATTATTTTCTTAAAAAGTAATTACATAAAAAAATATTGATATAGGCTTAATTTAGAAGCAATAAAGATTATAAAAAATATTTCACCTTTATTTAAATCGCACGCCAATTCCCTTTTGTTATTTTGGAGATAGTTACGTTTAAATTTAAAAGTACTTTATCAATAAATGACCAAAAACAGATCCTTACCCCATACAAATATTGATGGAGTATCTTTTGGTCTTGAGTCTTGAACCGAGACAGTGATACTTCTACATTGCTGATGTGTCCTAGGGGGATGCCTTTACCTGCTGGTAGCGGCACTGGAGGTTCCGTCGGCTATACGTGAGAAGAAAAAAAATTATGTAATAACAGATACATCTACACTAATATTATAAAGAGGCAAGAGTTTGTTTGATTGATTGAACGCGCTAATCTCAGGAACTACTTATCCGATTAGATTTTTTTCATTAGATAGCCCGTTTACTGAGAAAGGTTATAGACTATATATCATCATACTAATACCTAAAGGAGCGGAGCAGTAACCATAAATGTCAACACATACGGCAGACTTCCATACATTATTGTAAAGGGAAGAGAGGAAAGAAGAGTTTGTTTTTTTGTATTTTGAGCGCAAGCGAAGTCGCGGGTTCTGCTAGTTATAAATAAGCGGTAAAGTATCAAAAAAGCTATGGCATCATTTAACCTATGGACCATCTCTATAAAAAGAATTAAGCGTCGAAGATTGAATTATGGACAAACCCTAAAAAAACTGTTGTTTTTTTAATAAGTATTCCATAAAAAATAAACTTATTGTAGTTAAGCTAGTAACAATAAAAACTTTAATAGATAAAAAATAGAAATATAATGATCATTGAATCATTGGAATACTATTGCTTACCTCTCTCTTAGGTTTAGGCTTAGGCGCCTCCTCCTCCTCTTCTTCTTCCTCCTCCTCCTCCTCACCCTCTTCTTCTCCTTCTTCGTCATCACCACATTCTTCTACTCCATCGGCTTTCTTTGCGGGCTTCTTTACTCTAATAAACAATTACCAAATATTAGTTTTTTTAGAAATGATAATATAAAAAAATATTATAAAAACTTAACCTTGTTCCTATAATCTTCTTCGTAAATCATATATTAATACTGTGGTAGGCTTTGATAATTCATAATCACAAATTTAACACATACACATTATTCGACACGTGTCTAGGAAATAATGAGATATACAAACAACTTTTATATTTTTGTAAGCACTTTGATTTGACCACCACGAAATAAAAATATTCGATTACTTCCATACTAATACGTTCAACATAAGCATGAAAGTAACGCAAGTCCTAAAATTATATTTCTTTGTTATAAACAAGGGGTTTTCGTGTAAATCATCGAACTTTTTACTGAGGTATTTAAACTCATAAACGAATACTGGATGAAATATTTTTTAAATAAACGTGTCAAAATAACTTATTATGAAGCATTGTTGCTTGGGCAGAATATGCTTATCCTCTAAAAGTTAGTAGTTGTAGTAAAACTACTAAGTCTCATAACATTTGCTCAGTGTATAATATATTTCTTTGGCGCATGTAATAGTCTCTTGTTTTTTACAAGTACAAATATTCTAAGCAGTCTCTTCGCACTACAATATCTCTCGCTATTTAAATGTAACAATGTAATTTCATATTATTTGAGACTTCAACTAAGACGCCTTGAAAACTAAATTCATTTATATTATATACTCATACGTATATTGTTTACACTTATATGTATGTCTTTATTGTTATTTATGTAAACTTATGTGTAATTTATAGTATGTACCGTTTAAGTATGTATGTTATAGACTGTTTTTTTTGCACCAACCGTTATCCATGCTACCCTATGAGTTTATTTATAATATAGGTTGCCTGTAAGAGATCACTTTAAGTGATAAGGCCGCCTTATACATAGCCTGGTGTATAGTTATGTATTCTTTTAATTTGTCTTTTTGTTTTGGTCTAATAAAGGAATAATAAATAAATTAATAACAACAACAAAACTTTTTATACACAGATAATATTCCGGGAGGATTGTTGTTTATAAAATCCAGTACGAGGATAAGCAATTGGGTCATGGTCACGGTCAAAACAGCGAGCGAATATCAGCGAGAGTAGTTTTTGTGCTTATACAAAGCGCACGCGCCGCGATACCTTCATATCTTCTCATAAATACATTTATACTAAAAAAAATTGAATGACTTGAGAACGGCTGTAGCGATTTGGGTAACATTTTTAAATTTTGGTACTAATGTAAGGTTTTCAAGTAAAAAAAATATAAAAGTTTCCCTTTCCGGATATTTAAATTACAACATTATAATTATGGAATAGATTTTTTTTATTTTTTTCAGTAGATAGTATGACCGATGTTATATTGGCAAACATGTATGTCAATAAGCAATCTCTGTATACAAAAACGAGTAACCAATGTAAAAATGTGTGGTAAATACAGACAAAGCATTACATAATAATACACACGTACACATTATTCGTATAATAATAATAAGTAAAATAAAAATGCCATTACTAATGCCAAAAAATAAACGTTGAACGACAGAAAAGTAAAGTTAGCATGCAGAGAATTTCTATAATAAAGGTGTATCTCTTAGGTCATGGGCTCATAAAAGCCCGATCCTAAGAAGGCTTGCGTAGGGACACAGGTCCAAAACGTAGAGGCCTCTAAGAGACTAATTTGTTTAATATAACACATTAACCTAAATTAAATAATAAATGGCTTTAGCTGCTTAAAAAATAACGAAGGTTTTTGCGTACGAAATGTAGTCTCGACGGGCCAGATATTGGTCCATCCAGACCACAACGTCCGCCTTTCAATAGGTTTCATATTGAAATATTGGCGGACGGTGACTCGCCCACCACTGGATGGGCCCCCATAGTGGCGTAATGCCTCGGGCGGCAACATCGCGGTGGGCTAAGGGTGTCGAGAGGTGTGCACCGGTTTCACCATCGCGAGAGTGCTCGTGAGCGGGTTTCCCCGTTATTACGCAGATTGAGCACTTCCACCCTTCGAGCACTTGGCTCTTGCGCTCCACTCTGGACGGCCAATGAAGGCGAGCCAGAGGCGGGGGGCTGATATAGTTTTCCCCGGGAGGTCTCAGGTCCGTGGTGTCGCCACTCACCAACAGCTCGCCACAAGCTGCCCTGCGGATTCATTATTATTATTATAGGAATCTAGTATAACTTTCGATCAACACACTTAAAGTGTGCATAAATCGAATAACACACACCCTCTAATATGTATTTCTAGTGACAAATTTTATCTACTACTAAATATTGTGTGTATAATCATAGAACTTACTTTTCTTTAGGTTTCTTTTCTTCCTTTTCATCCTCTTCATCTCCTTCTTCACCTTCCTCATCTTCTTCCTCTTCCTCCTCTTCGTCATCTTCCTCCTCCTCAGTATCCTATTATCATAACATCTTAAGACTTAAGTTTTAACAAAATTTTATTTAGTTTATATTAAAACAGCAACATCAATATTTAAAAACAGTATTTTAAGTATATGAAGATGGATTCAAATACTGGTCGTAAATATTTTTTTTTCAAATATGCACATTGCACAAATTCAATTAAATAATGATATTATGAAAAATTGAAAATATTCGTCAATACAAATAAAAGGCTTTGAATTAAAATAAACGATTTTCACTCAAATGTACCTTTTACATTTGATTTAATTGATTTTAACGATTTAACACTCAACAATATAAGACAAAATATAATTAGTACATTATACCATGTTGCTAATCAAAATTAGACCGAAGCTATAAACGTATTTATCTATATTAAAGGATTAAAAGCGACAGATACCCAAATGCGGTGCGTCACTCGGATCACCGCGTGTTCATCAATGTACACCTGTCACATTAACAAGGACGATTGCCTAGTGCTCGTACAGCCGGTGGGAGACCACGAGGACACGAAGTTGATGTAGTTTTAAATGATGTTGAAAATGATCCCAGCACTTCAGAACGTGCAATTGAAAGATTATTTAGGATTACATTAAAACAAAAAAACACTGCAAAATTCGAAAATTCGTGATCACAGTACCTAAAAATGTAATCTAATGTAAAAGTCTGATTTGTTTTTTTCTTATTTTTGCCAGAACTGGTATAACCTATCGTCCAGTACCCGAGTTGGCGTTGAATTTTGGGAAACCTGAATACAAAAGCTTATTATTATATAATTAAATTAACTCTTACCTCTTTCTTGGGTTTCTTTTTCGGTGCTACTTTCTTGGGCCCCTTGTCATTTTCTTTTACGTCTTCCTTATCATTCTCTTCATGAGTTTCACCATTTTCTTCCTAAATTACAAAATAAAAGATCCTCTTACGTAAATGAATTTGTTTAATGAATTATAATTCAAACATATTTTAATTAAATCGTTAAATAAAAACAAGTTAACGTGCGTTAAAATTGATGACTATTCTATGATAAGTTTTTTTCGACTTCTCGTGGGAATAAAAAAAACGTATACGCTAAATACACATAAATAACTTTATTTACAAATCATTGTTTTAAAATTATGTATAAAATTCTTTTTAAATCTCCTTTAAAATTGTTTTTTTTTTCATTTTCTTTATCTTGAGAAAGCCGGATAATTTAAAGCACAATAAGAATAAAATTCATCACAAAAATAGCCAAATCACTGTCCTTTCAAACTACATATTTATTGTAGCCTGTAAATAATATACATAGATACCACGACGCTGCCTGCTGAGCTTAATTTTATTTTTTCATTCATACTTCTAATAATTCCATCTCTAACACTAAATCATTAATTCATATGTCAATTGCAATTTTTTTGTTACATTTATTTTCATTATAAGGACAATAATTATAATTCTTGTAAAACGTTTGAATATCTCAATAACTACTGACCTTTTTAAAATCTCCGTCGACTTTTGCGTCCTTTTCATCTTTTGAATCGTCAGCGGGGCCATCGTCTTCTTTGCCGTTTGCTGTAGCAGACTTCCCATCACCTGTTTTCAATAGAAATTCTATATTGTTAGGTGGAAAATTTTCCTTTGTTTCTTTAAGATTGTGTTGTTATTGGAAAAATAATAACGTTCGTATTATTTTTTTTTTTTAAATATATTCAAAATTCTGACTACTAGTGTACTATATAAATGCGAAAGTTTAGATGGATGTTTGTTACTCAATGACCACTCAATGAATACTCAATGATGATCTGGACGAAATTTGGCACGGAAATAGATTATATAGTCTGGAATAGCACATAGGCTACTTTTTATCCCGAAAAAATTACGGTTCCTGTGGGATAGATTTGTTGTTATTTTTCACGTATAAAATAAAAACGTAAACACCAGCAATTGTAGTAGGAGACAAAATGAAAATTTAATGGTTTAAGATAAAGAGCAATTGATTTATAAATCTTAGGAAACTGCGAACTTATGCATATTTTAAAAAGGTTATGCCGGCCAATATAAAAAGATATTACGTAAGTTATCTCGGTACCCGACAAACCGGTTCAGCAAATACTGGTCAGCCTTTTTTCGCAATTAAGTAGTCTTAGCAAATCGTTTTGACAAAAAGATACTTCCGCTATGTATATTTGAATGAAAATTAACTCTGTAATGCTTGAGTAATGATTATTAAAAACTAGGTTTTGCCCGCGACTCCGTTCACGTGGAAAGCGAGACAGGGACATAAGATGGCCGGCATGGTTGATGCAATTGGCATTATTCATGAAATCACTCATTTCACATTTATTATATAATTTATGTAAATTACCATATTTTTTAAGTTTTATATATTTTTGCTATACTTTTGTTTTACAGCGTCACCACCATTAAATTAACCTTGAATCAAGTTCTAGTAACCACGTATGACGCATATCTATGCTAATATTATAAATGTGAAAGTGTGTTTCACGTCGAAACAGAGACTGATTGACGTGATTTTTGTGTGGAGATAGTTTGAGGGCTGGAGAGCGACATAGCTACTTTTTACCGCGGGAGATAATCTCATTCCCACGGCAAAACACGTTATAACTTATAATACAACCTAAAAATTATTTATGATCAGAAATACTTGAAACTTGGTACTAATAATGCTCTTCAATACAATTAAATAAATACGTTTTTTAACATTTTTCGAAATTCATCTCATAAGAGGGTAAAATAGGAGATGAAAGTTTGTATGAAACCTATTTTTTTAGTTTTTCTGTAGATTTAACGCGAGTGAAGCCGCGGGTTCTGCTAGTAATTATATTACATATCTTTGAAAGTTTAAATGTAATATTTCAATTTTTAAGTATTGCCTACTTGTGTACACACCTTAACCGGACATAGAGAAAAGTAGCATGTCATGAATATTTTATATTAATAAATTATAATAACAGCCATAAATAGCCATATTTTTTCTAGTTTTTAACATATATGCATGACGATGTGACGTTAGCAAGTCAATGAGCACGACAAAACTTTAATATACTAGAGTTATCTCGCGGCCATTTAACTTGGTAGAATTACTCCACACTCGTATAGTGTGCGCAAGTAGTAATAAACTTTCAATATACATATAGGCGTTTGTGTAAAAACAATTTTACAAACCAGACTTATAGATCCAAAGAGTGAAAAAGAATAGGAATAGTAGAACAAACAAACTGTTCAGCTTTACATATAAGTAAGCTGTAAAGTATAGATATAATAATTTGTCTAAAGAAATACTAGCGCCAGGTCCTTTTCAATATTTAAACGTAAACTCAAAATATATAGCTATAGTATCTATAGGTACAGATAAACAAAATTGAAGTGTCTGTTTGTAATGTCAAAAAACATCGTTTTAATAAATGCATATGAAATTATATACGGTACTTACAAGAAAAACACATTTTTTATAATTTTTATCTGTCTGTTTGTTCCGGCTAATCTCTGAAACGGCTGGACTGATTTTGACGGGACTTTCACTGGAACATAGCTGATGTTATAGGGAGTAACATAGGCTACTTTTATTTTAGAAAAACAATTAGGGTTCCGCTCAAAAAAATTAAAACGTACCGACCGACTGAAGCCAGGGGCGAGTCGCTAGTAATATTATTTATAAGTTTTTTACTAATTTAGTTATGTTTCTTGGTCACTATTATTTATGATTTAAATCATTATAATCAAATGTTGCTGTAATTTTCTTACAAGTTAATTATAATACAATAAACACAATAGAAATAGGCTATACAGTCTATAGTTATATAAGTTGTGTCGTATGCACCAAGCAAAAGTAGATATATAAAATAATGAAGGAACAAAATAATGATATAAAATAACGCATTAAATATTTTGCACTTCATATTACCAGCGCCATTTCAAAAGGACAACTTCAATCCAGCACATTAAAGTTTTGTGTGAACTATATGATTTAGGTTTACATACGCTATTTCAGACGTTTGTCTCTGAGAGAAATATAATGAAATTGTGGCGTTATTAGTTTATACTAACAACGCACCACTACATTATGATCTACTTTTTACGCTATAAAAATATAGTTAACTGGAAACATTTTTTTAGCGGAACCCCTTATTCTTTTTCCTTAAAAAAAAAAGTAGCCTAAGTTACTCCTTATAACATCAGCAAGCTGCCAGTGAAAGTCCCGTCAAAATCTGTCGAGCCGTTTCGGAGATTAGCCGGACAAATAGACGGACAAAAAAATCAATCTGTTTAGATGTATAGATAAGTACTATTTCTTCTTGCACACTATTTTTATATTTCCCGGAAATAGTTTTAATTTAATTTTTAACTGTAAAAAAATTGAGATCTAAAAGCCATAGCTTCAGTTAAATGCCGTATGTCTATATAGTATTATAGACTATATAATACTAGCGGACCCGACAGACGTTGTCCTGTCTACACGTCTTTAATTTGAAAATTTCAAACTTTTTTTAATAATTTTTTTGATGAAAATTATTATTCAAATTGTGAATCTAAACCATTCCCAGATCCCCTTGAACACACACAAAAAATTTCATCAAAATCGGTCCAGTCGTTTGAGAGAAGTTCAGTGACATACACACTCACAGAAGAATTATATATATAAAGATTATCTATTTATCCTGACTGATTCACCAACGCTCAGACTAAACCGTCAAACCTAAATGGCATAGCTTATGAAAACTATATAGCAAACCCGATAAAAGCTCTTAGTATTATCAAATGAGCACAACATAGCCAATTCTACCTAATTATTAACCTTAAGAAACAGACAGTATCTAATACACTTATACAATTAACTGTTTATCTCATCATCTATGAACTCCTCGTGACCAATTTTTGTGAAATATTTATATTGCACAGAAATAAGTCTTATATCCGTTATTTGAACACTTTATGTGATGTGAAAGGTTGAAAGAGCGCGAACGAGAACATCATGTAATGGAGTATATTGTACGTACAAATTAAGTGCTGCTTACGTCTTTTTTAACGTTGCCTAGTTGCTTTATTGTAGAAATGGCAATAATGAGACTTGTTCAAAATAACTTATTCTATACTAATGATTTTAGCACTTTCTGTTGCTATGAATGAACTTATATTCATATACATTTTAAAGTTGATTTGTTTGTTTGTATAGGATTGGCTATAAAAATATTTCTTATATAATTTTATAATTTTTAAATTAGGGGATACATGTATGCGAATGTTGACAATCCTTTAATGTACGAGGTGATGGTCAATAAGAATATAAATAATACATATTGCATAATAATATTATACATGTGTAAGTAATTCTGTCTATTACCTTTCCATGCTTAATTAAACAACATTTTCTTGAACAGATTTGGACAAAATTCGGCAAGGACAGATTGCATCCTAGAGACGGATATAGGTTAATTTTACCTCACAAACGAAGCCGGGGACAAAAACTAGTATAATATAAGTAAGATGAGTTTATATACAATCATGGCATGCAAATACAATATGGGACATATTTTGACATCTCGTTTTATAAAGCAGGATTAACAGAGTGATCGGCCTATTGTTTCAAATTATAATACACGATACTAGTTAACGTCAATTATATAGGGAATTACATAAAATATATATAAATTTGCCAGATCACAGATGTATACAACAACTTGACTGATAAGAGAAAGATAAAAATAAGTAAGCGGTATTATTAAGCTGATTTAATTATTATTCAAACGTTATCACACGTTGTGATGTGCCTGCCTTATTTTGTAGGCATCTGGTTGAAGACTCGCCTCAAAATTTTACTAGCATTTTATATAGATAACACAAAGTGAAATCTATACAATTATAAAGAGACAGAGTTTGTTTGTTTGAACGCGCTAATCTCAGGAATTACTAATCCGATTTAAAAAAATCTTTTTGCATTAGATAGCCCGTTTATTGAGGAAGGCTATAGGCTATATATCGTCATGCTACTACCCAAGGGAGCGGAGCAGTAATAATAAATGGCAACAAATCGGTCGGACTTCCATACATAATTGGAAAACTGATGTTTATATTGGAAGTTTAAACGCGGACGAAGCCGCGGGCACTGCTAGTTATAAATATTGTAGTTCAAGCATCAATCGTCCAAACCCCAAACGTATAGAATGCCATGGTACTTTAGATTTATATGCCGTATTGGAAGATTGTTTAACTGACATGTGTCCTTATAAGAGAAATGAATAATACGAAGGCCAGGAAACCTCAACAAATAATTGTACCGAATTCGAGTCCCATATGAGATGAATGTTCAAAATAAACTCAAGAAGCCTTATTTACTTGTTCAATATATCCCACCTTAGTCACACTTGCATTTATAATTAAGCTAATCTTAGAAAGTACATTTATTAATTACCAGTGCTTAGTTAAATTTTCGAACAGTTTACTCCATGGATGGTACTGATGAGCACGATCGCGTGCGTTTACCGATGTAGTCATTCGACTTATGAATGTCAGTAACAAACAACCACCCTGTCTTAACATATTAATAAAATTAAATATTTATGTATGTAATTATGCATTTACTTGTATTTTTGGATTTTTTAAATGATAATATTAAGTGATGATGTATTAAAATATTTTTTTATGCACAGGTAACTAAATATGTGCAATTCATATATCTATTTAAATTAGGTACTTATTATATAATTGGATGAAAAACCAAACCAACACCAAAAATTGTACGAAAATATGCTTGATATTATAAAATACACGAAATAAATGTAAAACTTGAAATACGTCGTTGTTACAAATGTGGATGGCGAATTAGATCATTTATGTTAATATACCAAAAAAATGAGATGTTTTCAAAAAATATCAATGTAATTTTATGAAATAAAATAGCGTATTTGACTTAATGAATATATTATAGACGAAATAAAATAAGAAGTCTTATATGTACTTTAAAAAAACAATAATTAAAAATGATAATTATTATTACTTTTAATTTTATATTCCACTAGTGACACACCCTCGCTCCAGTCAGGTTCGTCACTATGTATGTTTTAATGGATAATATAGATTTCTTAGTGAGATATTTTCCCGCAGTCAAAAGTATTCTATATGTTGGACCCAGATAACCAGCTATTATCATACCAAATTTCATAAAAATCTGTTTAGTGGTTTTCTCGTGATGCTTACCCAGACAGACAAAAATTTTAAAAACTACAGATCAGCCTCTGTATCAATAATAATGACTATTTTAATAAGATTTTCCAAAAAATATTAAATGTACAGATTCGACTCAGTTAGAATTTTATTATATATATAGATAATTTTGTATAATACCAGACTTATCCCTAGTGACCTAATTTAATGACTCACTTGCGTTGTGTATCATAATATGTTGTCATATTTACATAATAAACATTTTGTTGCCGTGGTGATTTCTATTTCTAGTTACTTTTAGATACTCTATTATGTAATCTTACCTCCATAACTGCCACCTAGATGCTAGTTGGACTAAGATGAAATAAATTTTAATATATATTTTTTATATAACTAAAATATATATTTATATACAGCACATTCCCCAATAAGTCAAATACCCTATCATAACAACCACACAATGATAACTAGTTTTGATATTGAATTACATATATAAAGACTTTTGTTTAAGTTACATACTTTTTATACTTTAAAAATATGAATAATAAAAATTAGTCACAGATATTACTTTCTGGAAAAAAACCTATTTTAGACTTAACAAAAATATATGTGTCAAAGTTACTTGTAATTAATTATCTCACAGTTACCCCAATCTTAATAGATATCTAATAGACATTGATTATAATATGTTATTAAATATAATTTTTATTTAAGTCTTTTCATATTTAATCCAATAACAACACAAAATCCAGAACATAACACAAAAGCCCCAGTTAGTGACGATACTTGACAACTGTCAAACTCTGACCTGGCTGTTCCTTGTCTACATCGACGTTACCTTGCGCCTCTGTTTCTGCAGACTCACCCTTGGAATCCTGTGAGGATTCATCTTCTGTTGTTTGGCCGTCACCTGCTCCAGATTTCTTATCTTCATCCTGTTTTAAAGTTTAAATCTATATAGATATTTTGTTTAGTGTAACACTTTCTACATCAAACTACTAATTAGACTTACAGAATATGATTGTTTTAAATGTATATTGTTTTGCTTATAAGTTAATTTTTATTTTAAATGAAAATTAATGCCCTATAAACAAAATTTGCAATTTTATTTTTGAAAAAATGTTATAATTTTAATACTGCAAATAATATCTACAAATATAAATTGTTATAAGAAAAAATATGAAGTTATATTACATTATAATTTTCTAAGAAAATGGCAAATATTGCTAAATGCAAAAATTTATGAAGTTAGCAATCAATTCAAAATGTACACCTTGATTCTATTGGCGTCAAATTTTTACGCGGCAAGCAACTCACAACCTTATATCTGTAAGTTTAAGTCACATAGTTCAATGCTCTGGTATTATGCTACCGTATTGTCTATGTCGTATACATAGAGCTGTGTACATATCAACCTATGCATGAATATTACCCAAAATATGATTTTAATGATAAAGGTCAACTCTTTTTACAACACCATGCAACGTTCTATTTGTTATGGATTTCAATGATATTTCACATTTGCGCATAAGATAAATCACAAGAATCGCAAAAAAATCGAATAGAGAAACTAAGGAGGTCACCAATAAACGCCCCAGTCTGGGTTCTGAGGTTTTTATTTACATCGCCTGTCGCGCTCGCAGCGTAAATAAGAAGGCGCGAAGTGACGGCTCAGTGGAATAACATCATTTTACGATACATTTGAATAGAAATTTCGCAAGAAACAAAATATCAAGGTCATGCGGATTTCCTATCAATGTCATATTATATCGTGCACATTTAACAAAGGCCCTGCAATGAAATGCAAAGGGGCGGGGGTGCGAAATATGTGAAATATCAAAAAATATCCCATTAGAATCAGTTTCGATAACTGATTAAAATGGCATTCACATTTTTAAAACCGATTTATTGACTATTATCACAACCCTCCGTGGCGTAGTTCCCGCGTTTAGCGGGAAGCGAACGTTCTGTCAGCCATGTTGAGACGCAGGCAAACATTAGTGATATAACACGGAAATAACATCACTTCACAGCTCAAAAAGTCCTTAATAGACGCACATTAATATAAAGAAAATTAATATAAATACATTTTTCTCAACTATACCTGATTGTCACTGATTTTCGCTTTATCGGTATCACCCGACATTTTTCCTATGAAGAAATTGAAAGCGAATTCCAAGCGTCTTCAAACACCGGACAACACAAATGCACGCACCCACAACATAGAAAAAAAATATGCGTTTTGGTACACCTATTGTAAGCGTGTAAGCGTTCTATTCGGGTATAATTGAATAAAAAAAAAACAGTATAAATTTAGCTAAAATTGTTCAATAATTAATTTTCTATATATTTTATAAATATCTAATTACACTAATAAAGTTTAACCCATCTATAAAGAACTTTCTTTAGGAAATTTAAAATATTTCAGTATGTTATTTAAACAGTTGATCTTATTATTATTTTTTTGAATATTTTATACAAAAGTTATATATTAATAATCTTAGAATAAAATTAAATTATAAATTTAGTACACTTTGCATATTCTTTTTCATAAGCGAAATCAAAACGCTATGTACCATAGACAACCTAGTGTAAAATTCTTTTTAAGTTATTTAGTATTTGCTACAGAGGGAAAGTTTTTTCAATAAAACTATTTATATTCCTTAATTGTTTTCTAAAAAATTATACAGAATAACTTAAATAAGAAAGAATTTCTTATTCTTTCTGGCGCCATTTTACAACATATAACTTTTTTGTGAGTTGGATATATCTATCCAATCAAGTAAAAGCATTTTGTTTTGAAGCTTACGTGATTGGCTAGTTACTTTATTGCGTACTGACGCACGATATTTTTGACAATATCTATATTTTACTCCTTTTGTTTATGGTCCGCGTCTTTTCTCCAAGTTGTGAGACAACAGTCTAATATTTTTTGGATCTTTTGATCCGTTTTAATGGCTGCCTCATTGAGCGGTTGAATGGTTGCTTTAATTTAAACATGAGTGATTATTCTTCTATGGCTACGCTTCAAAACAATAGCCAAACGGCGGGATTTGCGGCTGCTGTACAACGTGCTAGATTGGTGAGCGGATACTCATTATCTACATAATCAGTATACTTTGACACTTAGTTCTATATATTTTAATTTACCTACCAACATATAACATTATATTGGCAACGTAATCTACCCTCTTCTGCATCAGAATTTCTTTTTGGTGTAGACTCAGCAATTTTGTAACCTACTTTTATTCGAGTGTTCTGTACGTTGTGCTTAATATGACTAGTCCTTATATCTTAATTTCCATGCCAAAGACTAAGAATGATATAATTTTCAATACTATTTGTAGGTTGCCGCCAAAATTGAAGGTGGTGGCAGTAAGAGACCATTGGAAGAAGGACCTGAACCAAGTGCTAAGAAACTAGCGCCTATCGAGTCTTCATATCCACCTCAACAACCACCACAACAAGCCATGAGGTAAGAATTAAATTTAAAGAATATTTTCATGAATAAAAGTAATTTGCCACCACTTTCTATATAATTTTCCTGAAATAATGTTAAAGTAAATAAACTGTTGAAATTTACAATAAATAAGAATGAAGAAAGAATGATCTACCAATAGAATGAAACGATGAATTCGCAAATTAAACACTTATAGTTTCTCAATATGATCTTTTCATTTTATATGAAATTCAATTTAGTAAAAAAAAAACTTTTTTTATAGATTATATATTTTCTTCGACGTTTTTTGTTATTGTAGCTCAAATCATTTACAGCAAATTATAAAAACCTTTACCAAGAATGTTGTAGCTATAGTAATTTTAAGGATCTTTATTACCTTATTTAAATAGATTTTACTAGCTGAGCTGATAATAATAATGTAAGATTTTAATATTGCCATTACAGAGATTTAAGCTAATTTATAATACCTCTATAAAAACAAAAATAATATATAAGTATAAGAATATAACATTTTTATTTCAGATTAAATAAAAGAGTAGTTTCTATTTGCAAATTATGATTTTAAAAGAGATTTTACTTTATAATTTATGAGCTAAAATTACTCTTTCAAAGCTACAAAATACTTTTAAATAAATATATTTTCTTTATACTGCACTACTTGGAGGGAAGAAGATATTGTATAGAATTCAGCCTTCATTTTTCACTGAAATTTTAAGAAATTGCAATAGGCATCTATTCTAACACCAATCAGTTTAAGAGTAATTGTACATTGGTTTTGCAAAACTTAGGCAGGGTATATTATGGTGATTGTCAGCAATGCAAGGCTTATGGATACCAAAAAAAAATGTTTTGTTATAAAATTAAAGGGCTAACAACAAAGGAAAGGGCTAACACCTTAATATTATACAACATCTGAAAGACATTTTTTGTTAAAAAGACAACCTTTGAATCTTATTTATTTCACTTAAATAATAAAAAATGAAAATAATATATAAGTAGGTGCACATTTACAGACTAATAAATTTAAAAACTGTTTAAATTAGTCAAACAGCTGAATCATTAGAAGTTTAAGCACTATGAAAATATTTAATATACACTTCCTAATCAGGTATTTTTTAAATAAAATTTAAGAAATTGATGTAATATGTCTGAACTAATGAATAAAATTTAATTAAATATATCTAATAAAAACACAACACACACCATTACATAGAGTGTATAGACATACATATACATTGCATTTTTTAGTTTAATATAGAAAATAAGCGCAAATCGAGCCCGCAACCCAGTAACGCCGTGGCAGATCTGCGCTAACCACCAAACGGCACCAAAGTATACCTGAACATACAAAATTCGAACTGAATTATTTCAAATTATTGAGATAGTCATCATACATTTTGGCATAACTGGTTGAAAATATTGAATAAAGTTCAGTGTGTCAAAAAGTATTATCACAGTCTACTAATCCATACAGTTGTCTAACGAAAACCTCTAGACGGCAATCGTCCGGGGCGTGCGAGGTGAGACGCGATTAACGTGATACCGACTTTCATACTTACTTGTATATGACATTCGGGAAACGGCTTTAGGGTTAACGGGTATAACTTTAACTTGGAGACGAGACGAACAGTAAACGGCACTACAGCGCTTTAACTTCTAAACCGTTCGCCATAAAAAATGGTATTTTTGACAACCCTTGCATTTTCGTTAAATTCAATGAGCGATCGCCTACTGTATGGGGTTTTATACTGTGGTATTATTTTTAATCTCAGTGCAACACCGGCGCGCATCTCGAATGCTTCGGCACCTCCCGCGCCGCCCGCTGCGCCACCAAACATGATGCCTGATCAGGCTATAAATGAGTATATTAGGGTGCCTGATAAGATGGTTGGACTTAGTGAGTATATAGATTTTTGTTAAATCTTTTTTTTAATTAGCTATTACCTTGCATGGTCAATGATAAATCTAGATAAACCTTTTTATTGCATTGCAAATTTTAAATTTGCGGCATTAAAACGCGTTTTGTGGTTTTAAATTAGAATACTTGGTCATGTTACGTTTTTACAAATAGATTATATATAAACAGCAACATAAGCCTTTAATCAGTTGATATACTAAGCTAGAGCAGATGCAACACTTTGAAATAGTAATATTGTATAGTAACGCCACATATAAGACTTTATACAATAATGTGACGCTTATTCAATATATAGCACAAGGAATGATTTTCCAATATATTTTTTTTCATTTCGTAGTCACTTATAACATATTTCGCCAATTAGTAAAACACACGCTTAACAAGAGATAAAATGTTGTTCCTAAATTCAATATTAACATTTAACTCAGTTATTTATTGTATCATTGACCTTGATCCGTAATTAGTTTTTTTTTTTCATTAGTTCTATTAAAAAGCAATACAAATACAAAAATACTCATATAAATTCAAACACTAAATCCTAAAAACTAGGAGGTACAAATGCGAAACATTTCCCAACAGTAATCGGTCGCGGCGGTGAACAGATAACGCGTTTGCAAGCCGAGTCAGGTTGTAAGATACAAATGGCGCCAGATTCTGGCGGCCAGCCTGACCGTTTGTGTACGCTCACCGGCTCGCGAGAGGCTATCACTAGAGCCAGGTACATCTAAAATGCTATAGCAATATAGTGGTATATAAACAGCTAATAAGCTATCTTTTGGTCCCAGTTATGCCAAAATGTACTAAATCACATCACACAATGGTTTTGACTATGAATTTTTTTGTTCAACGTACCTATTATTATGTATTGGTAAGGTTTAATTCAGACATATTATGTTTTTTGTCAGTTTTGAATGTATTTTGGGCTTTTTTGTGGGAATAGTTACTGCATTTCTGTGTTAATGTCCATTTTGTGTTTTCTTTTCTTGTAATTTTTTATCTTTTAATTTTCTCAGTTTGGTATATTTTGGCATAACTGAGTTCTGATTTATTAGTTCACTTTTTATTCTAAACTGACAATGCTTACATAATAAATTATTATTAATTTTATATATAGTTTGTGAGTGAGTGTGAGTGTATGTATGCCTGTCTTAGGAAGATAGCTTATATCTAGGCTTAGCATATAGGCTATTTTTATCACATTTGAAAAAGTAGTATAACAAAATTCAGAGTTTTTTTTGTAAACTTTATAGCATGAATAAACTGTGACAAATGAACATTTATTATTAAATGCATATTAATAGGAAACTTTGTAATTGCTTTCGAGCAGGGAACTAGTGAACCAGATAGTGAACCATCGCGGTCGTGAGAATGCCCCTCAGCATCAAGACAACCCTGGTGGTGGTGGCGGCGGCGGTGGTGGTGGCGGTATGCCGCCCATGAATAGAAGTGGCATGTCTATTACGGTAATTTCAATTATAATATATATAGAAATGCTTCATGTTAAAAAAATACTAATTCTACTGAATTGAATCTAAATAAAAATAAAGTAGTTGTGAGACCACATTAGTCTTTTTAGTTTTAATTGTTTATTGATTAGCTAATGAGTAAATCAAGTCTTTAATTACATAGTTGATACAGCTTTATATTCATGTTTTATAAATAGAGATAAAATGTCAATGTAAACAAAAGTAAGTAGCAATGATACATTTACCTATTTAAAAAGTATTTCTTAACTTTTTTTGTTTTTCCTTACTTTGGTATGTTTCTTTTTTTTTAATTGAATTATTTATTTAATGTATTTATATTCTTGAATATATAAGTTTTAACTGGTATTTTATTGAGAAAATTTTTTGTTCATTTTTGAAAAAATATGTCTTTTTTTTTTGTTATGATGTGTGGAATGTTATCATTATTACATAAAGACTTAATATTCCATATGCAAAATATTTGAGAACTATAATATTGAAAAACATATGGATCTTCAACGTTTTTCTACGGAAGCTAACCTTAGGTCATCCGCCGCCATTTTTTTTAGAGTAGCAGCGCACTGTAAAGCTTGTATGATCGAATAGGGGACACACGCCACTATATGTAAGCCAAATGGTGCCTAAAAGTCTCACGTTTCCTCCATATTTGAAAGTAAATATCGCCATCGCAGATATGACGTAGTTAATTTGTTTTTAATGACAGTTACAGTTCTCACGATATTTTGATATTTACCTCCAAATATCTCTGAAACCTGATACTTAGAGCAATATACAGTGGATATATTTTTGCTTAAGTCCTTAATGTACGAATATATATATATATCTAATATCAGCCTTATTGAGCGCTGCTAGTTTAAAAAAAAGAAAAAGAAATATGGCGGGAGTTGATAATGCCGATAAGGTTTCTATTAACTTCGATTATCATAAATCTCGAATATTTTGTGTATTTAGTAATTATTATATGCACTTTAAACAGGAACAAATCATGCTACCTGGACCTAAAGTGGGTTTGATCATTGGTAAGAATGGTAAAACCATCAAGCAGTTGCAAGAGCAGTCTGGCGCCAAAATGGTTGTCATCCAAGATGGGCCCAATACAGAATATGTAAGTAAAATAAATTAAATAAACATACAAAAAATATTTTAAATTATCTTATATAGGTTATTTTAATTTTAAATTGTAGTCCTAACTAAATTAGACATTTGCATGAAGTTTATTTTGTTTTTCAGTATAGGCCTCGTCTAAGAACCATATTGTGTTTACTGTGACCCTTAAATAGTCTTCGCGTCTCGTTCTTTCGCTATTTTTCCTTCTCGTGGAAGTCAGACACGGACTTTCCGTAATAATATGGACTTGACTAAAATTCAAACATTTGAAAAACAGGCTTTGTTTAAATTTATAAATTAAAATCTTATTTAAATCAAATGCAAAATTGATAGCTTCACTATAGAAAAATTCAAATTAAATGTATTATATACTAGCGACACACCCTCGCTTCGCTCGGGTTCGTCCCTGAGTGATTCTTTAAATTGACATAACTTTTTTATTCATGAACCGTCCAAAATAAAACAAATTTTAAGTGAAAGCTTATTATAATACATTAGTGAAAACCGCGCCCAAATCGGTTAAGCCGTTTAATTTAGATTAGCGTGCACAAACACAAAATCTAAGTCGCTATTTTGTTTTCTATTGCGTTAATAAAGTCCCGCCAATAATAGTTTTTCCTCAAATATCTTCCACGTACAGACAGCGATCAGTTTATAGATTATTGACAATAATAATTAATCATAAATTTTTGATTATAAAGCCACACTTACACTAAAAAGTCGGTATCAATAAATTTTAAATGATTATTATTACATTTATTTCTTGAATTGTATACATATCAAAAACCAAAAAATAGTAGTTGATTTCAATAGTATTCCGTATGTGTGTGTTCCTATAGATGATTTTTTTCATTACAATATTATTGTATCCCATTTCTAACCATCTGTGATTTTTAGGAGAAACCTCTCCGGATATCTGGAGATCAGTCCAAGGTAGAGCATGCAAAGCAGCTGGTGTACGAGTTGCTCGCCGACAAAGATGTGCAGCAAGGTGGTCAGAGACCATACGACGATGGATATTCACAAGAGCAAGGAAATGGACTTGCCACAAATTCTACTGAGGTTTGTGGAAACATGAAAGAGAATACATTTCATTCAGAACTATAACCCATACTAATATATTAACAATGAAAAGATTGTCTGTTTCAACAAACTAATCACTGAAGTGACGGTTGGAATTAAAAAAAATCTTGTTTTATTATAATATTATGATAGTTGATGTCCCATAAAAAACCATTTGGAATACCACGATAAAACTAGCCTGTCCCACATGATTGTTTTCTATGCAAAAAATTCACATATACCTTTTTTACAAAAGAAGAATAAAACATAATAAACTTTCGCGCTTATATTGCATTAGTAAAGATTTTTTAGGTATATAAATACATTTTAAACAGGTACTAGTACCAAAAGTAGCAGTGGGTGTTGTGATTGGACGCGGCGGGGATATGATCAAGAAGATCCAAGCTGAGACCGGCTGCAGGGTGCAGTTCCACCAGGAGAGAGACGATGGACCTGGAGACAAGAGGTGATTATATATACATATGTTGCCATGTTACGTCTTTTCTTCCATGTTAGGATTTTTTTTGTGAATTTTTAAAGTAATGTAAAGTTTTTGTCATGCTTATAAACTTTTTTTTGAAATTTGTTAAGACTGAAATTGGTGAATTTTATGCTTATACAAACAATTTTATGTAAATATTATTTTGAGCTAGCTATTTGATACCGCACTTTTAAGAAAATAATATAATTATTTCTTTTGGTACATTTTTTGATAAGGGTATATTTTGCAGGTGTTATTTACAAGGGAAGCCTCATCAAGTAGACCAGGCCAGACAAATGATTGAAGATTTAATTGCCAGTGTTAATGTAAGTTATCTGTATAAATATTATAAATGTGAAAGTTTGTGAGTACGGATGTTTGTTACTCTTTCACGCCAGAACAACTGAACGGATCTGGATGAAATTTGGCGCAGAGATAGATTATAGTCTGAACACATGGACTTTTTTTCCCGGAACAACGTACGGTTCCCGTGTGATAGATTTGTTATTGTGTCTTCTTTCGTTGTTAGTCTTTATATATGGAAGTTATTAAAGTATTATATTTTCTACAGATGGCAATACGTTCAGGACGCGGGCGCGGTGGTCCCGGCGGGCCGCAGCGCAACGGCAGCGAGCGCGACTTCCAGCAGTGGCCCGAGCAGCAGGGGCAGGAGATACGAGTTACTTTCACCGTGTCTAATGTTAAATGTGGACTTATTATTGGACGGGGTAAAGTATAATAAATAATAATATATTTAGAGTTGTGTGTATGTCATTTCACTTAAAAAGTACATACTGCAACTATTAATCAGACTAACTTTACCTGCTTTTACTGTTACTTGGTTAGATCTGTGTTCATAAATGCATAGAATGCTTTACATTTTTTTATTTTTAACTATGTGTTTTTTTGAATGTAAGAGACCTAAATTTTGATCTTACTTAAATTTATACAGGTATTTATAATTTTAAAACTCATTTCTTAATATTATGCTATCTAGATATTCTATGTTTTTCAGCATTGTTGTTTACATATTTCATTCTAATAGAATCTTATAACTATACCAACTAAAATAAAGTTAAAACATCAAGAGTGTATGAGGACGAAGATAACATTCTTTTATTTATATTTAATATATTATAATTTATAACCCAGGTGGTGAAGTGATAAAACAGATCAACGCACAGTCCGGCGCCCACTGCGAGCTAGACCGGCGTGCGCAGAACAACGACCGCAACAACCGCACCTTCTACATCCGTGGACACCCCGAGGCGGTGGAACACTGCAAGCGGATCATCATGGAGAAAGTCAGCATGGTCAGTGATGGGGATATGAATTTATATCTATACATATAATAAAATGGAAACTAAGCCGAATCTGTACATTAAATATATTTTAAAAATCTTATTGAAACAAACATTTTTATCGATACAGAGGCCGAATCTATAGTTTTTAGAATTTTTGTCTATCTGTCTTGACTGTCTGTTACTGAAAAATCGCTGGAGGGATTTGGATGAAATTTGGTATGGTGAAAGCTGGTTAGCCGGGTCAACATATAGGATACTTTTTACCGCGGGAAAATATCTCATTGCTGAAAAAAATACAAAAACTGCATTGTAAGAGTACTAATATGTAAAATCTAAGCATTTGGTTTTTGGTCACCTGGACACGGGCGGAGCCGTGGGTGATGCTAGTCTTATATTATGATATTAAATGAGAAATTCTTGTATATATAAATTTTACCGACCAATCTCCTTCGTGACTTTGGCGAAGTAATTTGTGCTCGTGACAGGCACGCTTTAAAGCCATTAAAAAGAAAATTTATTATATAAATGTATTTCCCGTATCTCGGAAACGGCGCTAACGATTAGGGTCAAATTTTTCATTTAAATAGGTTTTGTTTTTTAAATTTATCTATACAAGTAATTGTCAAAATTGTCTGTATTTTTTTGAAAAATCTCAATTTTTATATCTTTTCTGAAAAAACACAACTACAAAAAAACACCGACCGAAGCTCGGTCGTCCAGGTACTTATATATTTAATTTCAGAAATACACTTATTGTTAGTCAGCCGAGCCCTAACTACTAAAAGAATCTCAGCTAAACTACTAAATGATTTATGTTACTACTGACACTGATATAATATATCTTGAGTGAGATTTAAAACATACAGTACATATAGTGCATAATAAAAAATTCAACTTATCTGATCCATTAAATTCTGTTATATTTTAAACTTATCACCATTCTTAATAACTCATCTTAAATTTTACTTAAAATAGGTAAAAAATACTATATGATCTGTTTCCACAAAAATAAGCAAATTTTGATTACTAGTAAGAAAAACTACTAGATAAATTATAATTAGAATTAGGTGTTAGCATATGGCGTTTTATAATTAGTTAGCTCAATAGAAAATCGCATTTCAATATCGCCACGTCGCAATTCTGCAAGTACTTGTTCTATTTGAATTCATATTGTAATCAATATTCTCCTATCAAAATATATGTCAGTTTATACGTTTCTAAGTTATAGTAGTAAGTGTATTAATTTTTGTATGTACACTTTTATGAAATTTACAGCATATGTATTTTCTAATAGTACAGTTTTCATTTGAATCTTTTTTATTCAACTGAGAAGCTAAAAACGACATTTAACCCTCTTATATTGTAGAGACTACATAATAATGAATGGAAAACCTGGAAGTTTCTTCTATGAAAACTTCTTCCATGTTTTTTAATTATAAATTGGTCTATAATTGTTCCATTTGTGCACAGCCGGTGAACTTCATCCCCGACAACGGTAGCGGTGGCGGTGGTGGTGGTAACGGCGGTAACGGTAACAACGGTAACAATGGAAATGGCGGGGACTACTACGGTGGCGGAGGCCCGGCACCCGGCCCGCCGGCCTGGGGCTACAACCCGCACTGGCACCATCAACAGCAACATCAGCCGCAGGTGAATTGATTAAATAATATATTTATACTAATATCTAGGTCTTAGACTTTGCCTGTATGAAATTGTTTCAGAGCCATTTATTTATTTGTAATAAATGTAAACTCTTAAGGAGGATGGAAATATGTCTGGTTTTTTATTTCATTTCTTAAGTATAGTTTTTTCAGAATATTTTTTAATATAGGTAGTTCTATTTCTATTTTCTATATGTAAATGTATGATAACAACAAAAATTACCACAAGAAAGTCGAAGTACTTATGGTATAATAATTACGCATATTGAATCGTCTAAAACAAAGTAACGTCTAATTAGCATAACCTGTAACGATTACTGAAAAAATGCCTTTTTTCACAGCAACAAGTCCAAATAAACCCAGCAACTGGTCAACCAGACTATTCCCAGCAGTGGATAGATTACTACCGTTCTTTGGGCCTCATGAGGGAAGCGGAGGCTGTTGAGCAACAGGCCAAGCAACAGCAACAACAAGGTATTGTATTTTTAAAATGTGAAATATAATATTTTGTTAGTTATGATTAGTGTTTTTAGGTTTTTTTTTTATATTTAATGTGATGATTAGTAGATATTGTGTTGACATATTTTTTTTAGAAAAAAAAGTACTTATAACTTCTTAATTCGTCCTTTACTTTGTAATTACATATATTGATTTATTACATGAAAAAATCCTGAGGGATGGATTTTTATTCTAATATGAACCCTAAAAAATTCACAAAAATAAAAAAAGAATTTATATGTAAGATATGAAAGGGGGCATATTTCAATACCTCTCTTTACTGAACCATCACTAGACATTGGTAGAAAGTATAAGATGAACACTTAAATCTGTCGCTCACAGCATCCGGCGGCGCGCCCAGCACGCCCACGCCGGCCGCGCCCGCCGCCGCGCCCGCGTCGCCCGCGCCCGCCGCCGACTATAGCGCGCAGTGGGCCGAGTACTACCGCAGCATCGGCAAGATGAAGGAGGCAGAGGCTATCGAGGCGCAGATCAAGTTGAAGGTGGGTTTATCACTACATAGTATAAAACAAAGTTGCTTCCCGCTGTCTGTCTGTCCCTATGTATGCTTAGATCTTTGAAAGTACGTAACGGATTTTGATGCGGCTTTTTAATAGATAGAGTGATTCAAGAAGAAGGTTTATATTTATAATACATGCATTATATAGTAGGTAGGTTCGTCCCGCAGTATGAGAGTGACAGGAATAGAGAGTGCACTTATGTCTGCGAGTACACTTGTGCACTATAATATCTCCTGCGCAGTTGGCTAGTCTCAATGAGATTAGCCGCCGTAGCCGAAATCGGCTAGGAGAACATCATCATCATCATATAGTAGGTACAGAAAAGCAGAGAAATTCAAAGGTTTGTATTTCATACTAACTGTTTAAACATACCTAGGGACGAACCCTAACCCTATTATATATGCAAAAGTTTGGAAGGATATATGTATGTTTGTTTATTAGTTACTCTTTAAAGCAAAAACTAATTAAATGGATTTTGATGAAACTACAATAAAGCTTATGAATTAGAATGACATATAGGCTATAATTTATAAGGTTATAGTAATAGTAATACATAAATAAATTACGCGAGTAAAGCCGCGTGGATACTGTGGTATATCGGAATGTGTGTGTTTTACTCCTTTGTACTAAAACCCACATGAAGTTAAAAAATTGACACTTGATATCAGTGCTAATATAAGTAATATAAACATATTGATACTTGCACATGATTTAAACTCATAATCTATATTTTTTTTATTATCTTAAATTACTCATACCTAAAGTATTTAAACAGAGTGTACAATATTGCATTATATATCAATGCACAACTGTATTATAGATAAAAAAAATTTCGCCTTTTATGTAACCCATTACCATATTACAGCAACAACAGCCACAACAACCGGCCAGCGTCCCGCCCCAGCCGACCCCTCAGGCAACGCCCCCCAACCCCACGCCCCCGACGTCCGCCAACAGCGCTCCTCAATACGGCCAGTACGGGGTCTATCCGCCCGTGTATCCCGGCTATCCCTACCCCTACCCGGGGGTACCCCCAGCACCAGAACACTCTCAACACCAACATCAGTAAATGTAAGTAGACTCCAATTGTCTGTGCTTTATACACATATCTGTTCTAGTTTATTTATGTGCTTCATTATTATCTGCGCTATACATGTTTTATAAATACATATACGTTATATATATTTGTATACATACACCTGTGTTGTTTTTGTGTATAGTGCTTATAGTGCTTGCAGTTGTTGGTTGTTAATAATTATAATATATTTGATAATGTATCTCATGCTTAATAACTGTTTATATTTAAATTTTAAATGCGCAAATTTATTTTTGCCAATATTAAATTTGAAAATGTGTTATGTTATTCATTTTTGACCATATTATATATCAGGTACCTGCTTTTCCATAAAAATACATGAGACTAGGACTTATCCTTGGGAACATTCCCTTGGTCTTCTAAAGATGCTTTTAAATAATTATAAATGTCTTCTTATTTACACACGACATATTAAACAAAAGACACACACTCAAACAATATTGAAAATTCTTCATGAAATATAATTTCCTCCATAAAATTAGATTTACTAACACACATTGTAGATGTACTCTATATACGAAAAGTGTTAATGGTATTTATGTATTTTTTGTTATTATAGAATTAAGAGTGCCTCTGAAATTATTATTATTTGTATGGTATTACTACATGTACATGTAAACAGTATTACCCGTATCTTGTATCACTTTATGCTTTTTCTTAATAATTGTACTTTAATTAGTTATATTATTGTTATAATAACATGTGTTTTTTGGCAATTTTTCAACAAAATATTTCATCGTTTTATACAATGTTATCTTCCAGGGATTTGGTTATAATGAAATGCATGATTTAATTTATCCAATTCTCTTTCAGTTTGCATGATATTTGTAATTTTTATACGTAAATATAAAACATACATCTGTCGAGTTTGATCGGTTTGTTTTAAAGTTAAAAATGCTATGTGATATAAAGTTTAGCGTAATCGAATTACATACGTTGTGTAGTGTGTGTAGTGTTGCAGATGTACTTAGGCCGCCAGTGCCGGGTCGCCGTTCGACGCTAAACTGACCACTTGACCACCTGTGATATTGCTATGTCCGTTTGTTTGTCTGTTTGCAGAGGCCGGCCGGACCGCCCGCGACACCCAGAAGATACCTCTCCAATATAGATATAAAATATATTGTATAAGCGGCACTCCTGACGCGACCCACAATAAATAATTATCAAACACAAAAAAAACCTTTTATTATGCACACTTAATGTTTATTATATTTCGACTGGCTTCATACCATTTATTTCTTGTGGGTGCCACTAACATTGTCAATGTCTAAAATATGAGATTATTTTACGTCTTAACCGCTTTACCAATGATATTCACGGCCGTGTGGTACATTCGATTTTTCATTGCACTGTGTATTCATTTTATTTTTTGGTAACTGAATATGTTTGTATAATGTCGATATTGATGATTGACGTGCCAGTTTGTCCAGGTGTAAACTTTAGAATGCCACACTGCCTAAAACGATGTAACAGAGAGATCCGACGGAGCTATAAAGAGAAAAGTGAAAGCGTTACGAAAGCGAGATTCGCCGCTGCGAGGACTCGAGGTAAATGCACTGTCGAGTGAATAGCTTACTACATTGCGTTGAAAAACTATTGTGTAATTTTGAACTTCGAATGCGGAGGTCTGTCTCGATACTTAACGTGCACTAAAATTGTTAATTAAACGTATAATAAATACTCCACATTCGACGTCGAAGAATGAATTGTGTCCTAGATATAAGTTAGGTTTCACCGGTTAGGAAGTCGTTACCTCGACAGCTCACTAGACTACTTTTTACTAATATAGCTTCATTAGAATATGTTTTATTGATTATAAATAACTTGGTAAATAATTAGGTGTAACGCAAGTATCAAAGGCAATGTGGTATGACATTCCCTGAGTATTGTTTGAAGCGGATTCGAACGATCGTTCACACACGGGACGTCCCGATCAATTGTATTAATGTTAAGATATAAAGTGTATGTTTAATGATGTGTTCATTTTATTTATAATCATTACTTCTTTCCACAGACCCTTGAGGTAAGTGTCCCTGATGTACACTGGTCTGAACATGTTTATTGACTTTTCAACTGTGGTCTTTTCTTTTATTTATATTTTTTATATTTGTTTGTGTACTCTAGCTCTAATGGGCGATATCATTTTGGTTTTTTTTAATGACTTTTGACTTCCTTTTTATACTTTGATTTTTTGTTTGTTTCTATTCCTGTGTCTACAACACTTGATATAAAATGTGAAAATGTTTTTTTTTTATTTTGATGTCGGTAGAAACACTGTTTGAATCACTGATTGATTTATGATGATATATAATTTTTATATGTGACATGATATTTGGGTGTGTTTTTGCTATTTGCGGCAATTATAAATTTAAATATTACACAATTGAATCTATAATAATTGAATTTAAATATTCGTACATATTATGATCACTTGTCTTTAGCATGTTGTTCTTTTTATTGTTATATTTTCATGAATTTTGAATATTTCTGGTGTATTTATTTACATTGATTGCATTACGTATTTCATCTTGTGATATATCACTGTCTTCACTGTGTCGATCTGTTGAAGGTGACAGAAGCGATAATATTAAACGCATGTCGTAAAAGAAGTTTGATTCGATACTTGGAACGGCGAATGGGAAATCCTTTTGCCGCAGTTGAGAGAGTGCATAAGTATATGACGGCGGCGGTGCCTCGCTTTGGTAAGTTGAGAATGAAAAAATAATCCTGAAACTGATTGGTCAATATAAAAGATTATGAATGAAGTCAATTAAAAATAAATGTTGTGACGGCTTATAAAGGACGTGTACAAAATAATTAAATAATTTACAACATTCTTGATAATATTTCAAATTCTTTGCATCTTTTATTGTGGCCAAAAATATAAAATTGACTAATATGAAAATTGAATACATTAAATGGAAGGTTTTTTAAATTCATAAATACATGTTTATTGATGACAAAAATTAATCGCAAAGAATAATATTGCAAATTTCATTTCACTTGTTAGATTTTTTGATCATCTAATTATAATATATTGAATAGATAATTATTATCTAAATAAAAACTGAACAAAAATATATCTGATAGGTAATTAATAATAAGTATTTCCGTTCACGTTAGTTAAATGTTAAATATTGGCGCCATTTAATTTGTATTTTGTACCATAGATAATTTTTTTCTACTAACGTTTAGAAATGAAAGTATTTTTTATTTTTAAGTAGTGAACTATCAATTAATACTATAAGTTTTTTTTAAATATAACGCGGTAGAGAATTGATTCACATCATATTAATTTGTTTATTTGATAAAAAGATTAAAGTAGGCACCTACATATTTATTTATACATTGATGGTATGATTTTCAATGAGTGGATTTGTTTTTCTACGCCGAAGAAAGGAGATACATCGAATAAAACATGCTAATTAAAACGTAGTTTTATTTATATTATTTGAAATATGCGTACAAGTTAGTCTAAATGTTAAAAGGTGTGAAATATCTCACTTGAACTAAAAATGAACAAGATAATCTTAGACTCTAAACAAAATTATGCTACTATAAAAGATCTATTATTAATATTTTTGTGGTGAATTCTCTTCGGATTCGTGCGAGGCGAGTGACGAGCCGCTGAACGATCTTATCAATCGCGAAAGACGGGACAGAGATGCAGTAGCCCAAGGCTCCAAAGGACTACCAGTCTCTTGAATTGGCGAAACCCTTTAAAAAATTATTGAAACATTACTTTCGACGTGAAATATCTCACAATTAAGCATGTCTCTTCTGTTCTATATAAAATGGATAAACTACAGTTAAAAGAAAAAGAGTCCATTTTCATCAACTTATCCTGAACGATATTTTGAATAATTAATCTGTTGGGCTGAGTGGTATTTTATAACAATTTCCTAATTAAATTTATTTTTATTTCACTTATGTAAATATAAGTCAGCTAAATACAGCCGACTTTGATCAATATAATTAATGATATTTGAAAAGTAATTTCATGACACCTAACGATTGTTACTGCTCTTAATAGTGTTATTAAGTGGCCGAAATTCGAGTTCAAAAATATAGGTTTCTAAGACAAAATTGTTGGTCTCATTAGGTGATGCCTAAAATAATTAAATAATTCTCCTCAATTTAAAAATGTTGGTGAAAATGTACCTTCAAAGCATAAGCTACGATTTTGGATTTGTTTGAACTATATGTTAGTCGCTTCTAGCAACACTGTTAAGAGTAGACAATTTCACTGATATCTATGTATTTATTCCCTGGCACATGAGAATTTAGAACTGGTTTTAGATTTTCCATTTGATTGTTCTTGGTTGAGAGAAAATAACCGCGGATAAACTGATATGTGATTCCGATTATCCACCAATGGCTAAACCGTAAACGATATAACCCCCCACCTATTACGACGAGGTCTTGCAGTTTTTGGTCTTGTCTTTTTTAATATTGATTTTTGAGGTATTGGAGCACTTTCTACTTCTCCGCCACTTCCAGGACCTTCTATAAATAAAGAAAAAATATGCCAAATTTAAGTTAAATAATTAAGTTTAATCCTAATAAAGAATTAAAAAATTATGATTATTTATAGACATATTTACCAACAAGGAACAAAGAGTGCTCTACTTGTGCTTGCCCTGTCGCATGTTGTATACATAACGGCCTGGCAGCTCGCATTCTTTCATCTAACCTGCCGCCAATTGCACTAAAACATTTCGTAGCTTCTAAATATTATGAAAGATAAAGCGTGAAAATAATGTCAAACATCAATAAATTATCAATTCTACGATCTGGCCATGACATATCCATTTAAATGATTCGTTCTCTTAAAAGAACGACTTAGTATGGCACGTACAATCTACTTTGCTTACGAGTTGTTTCCTGAACTGAGCTGATCCTCCAACGGTACGTCGCTTTCAACTGCACTACTCTCTGACGCCACCAAATACATAGATCTGTAATGTTGATCATAAGTATAAGAACATGAATAAATTTTTAGCCAGTTTCTGAATTTATTCGTTCACAATGTTAAGCTCAATAGGTATTGTGCGTTGTATTGAAATTTGAAGGGAGGCCGGTGCCCAGCAGTGAGACGTTATAAAGGGCTAAATACATACAAAAATACATTGTGCCGCATTGTAAAAGTTTAAAAAACATGAAACCCTTGTGGTTAAGGTACTAAAAGGTACATTTAACATTTTTGACCAAAAAAAATGTTTTATAAAAAAATTGATTTACAACAGGTAATAACAATTCTATTTTAATCTTTGTTCTGGGGTCTATATAGGCGTTCCATTTGGGCAAAGTTAACTACAATAATAATATAATTCCACAAATTAGGTACTAATAGTTACTACCTACTTGCGTTATAAAACCATTTAATCACTATTCAATAAGTTTCAATAATTTAGCTGGGTGTTACCTAGCAGGAACGTATAGATGTGGTGATGGAGGTTGCGCGCGCCGAGAGGCCGAACGTGCCCGACGAGCGCGCGCTGCTCGACCCAATACCACAGTGTCTGTATTAAAATTTAAATATTAATGCCAATTAACACCTCCAGGTGAATTTCTAAGAAATTAATTAAAATTCTAAGAAATCTATTGTTAACTGACACGCCGGCGAGTCTGCGGTCGTGGAGAGACTTTTTTTTTAACGTTGGGAAATGCATTTACGCACGAGGCGTGGGACTCACCGGCAAAGCCTGTACTACCCACTAAAACCCAACAAAGCCTTCCAGCGTCTTAATGGGGCGTCGCAGGATCGCTTACGCATTCAACTACGACGCCCCGACGGCAGGTCTGCCAAAGCAGACCACAACAACCACGGGGTTGCTCCAAGGTCCACTCTGCTATCAGAGAAGTACCAGGAGCAACCCGCATGGTACACCGCCCTCCGAAGAGGGCTACCGCCCACCGAAGTGGGCCACCTCCCTGTGCGTTTCTTGGCTTCGCGCCCGGTTGGGTTGCCGGGCACTACTGAGCCCCCCCACCACGACAAGGTGAACGCACTTTGGGGGGGGTTTGTTTGAGAGATTATTACCTACCTATTTTAAATACCTTAATATTATAATTATATATAATTACCGTTAAATTGTTATCTATACAGATAAATCAAATTGTCCGTTTGTAATGTCAAAATAACAGCTTTTTACTAAATTCATATAAAATTATATACGGTACCTAATGGTATATTTTAAAATTGTTCGTTTTGGCTAATATCCGGCTCGGCTAATATCGGCTGAATTGATTTTAATGAGGCTTTCACTGGCATATAACTGAAAATATCAGAGGTGTAGGTGTATAACAAACAGATAACTAACGCGCTAACTCTCTTTCACTTTAATCTATCTTTGCCGTGGTAACCGTTGTTATTGTCTGACACACAGATAATATTATATTCTTTCCTTTGGGGCCACTTTTACATAGGTGAGAGGTATTTTATCATGCACAGAAAAAATTAGCTTTAATTTGATATATAATTGATGAATATACGCCATGAACGTATAAATGTAACAAAAACACTTTTAATGACTCGCAACCACTTTTGCGGCCACTTTTACATAGGCAGGCGTAGTTTATTAGGTACAGAAAAAAATTAGCTTTAATTTGATATATAAACGATGCATGTACGCTATGAACGCATAAATATACCAAAATATGACCTGCTTATACCTGGCTGCGAAGAGGTTGCGGCGAAATGCGCAACGGCAGCTATCATTTTTCAAGATCTCTACGTATAGTTCGGTGAAATGGATATAATTCATTGTAATAACAAATGCATCGTTTTTATTCCAAAAAGTCAACTATTATTAAGTTAATTAAACATACTAGCAGGCACATTTGGATAGGCACCCCGGTCAAAACATATTGTCCCTTTTATTATTGTATATAAAAAATTGACTTCTATTAAATACGCAATGAACGTAGTAATCTTGCAGTGGGATCTCGATCCATTAGAACGAATTTAGTATATTTAGGAAAATAATTTATTGTATGTCCAACAAACTGAATAATATAACTGATTACGCATCTATGAATATTATAAATTATTTAGTTTAAGTATTGCGCAAAAAATAAACTAAAAATTACACATGCCAAATTCTATAATAGGAATTTTACAAAAAAGTTTTTATATATTGGATACTATTTCCTTTAACACCTACCTGATACAGGATCACTGTCAGTGTGTTCTTGTCGCTCTCTGCGCCACGAGTCCGGCGGTGGTGCGTCTGCCGCGACCCCGAACAAACCGGACACCGCGCCCGCCACCACTAGACGAGCTGATTTAGCTGTCGTCTAAAGAAAATACATACAGATATGCTTTGTAACTAATATAAAAAAAACTGACTTCCAGGCACTAAAATGTAAAAAAGAACTAAACTGAGGTTTTCATTTAGAATAGATACCTAATCAGATATTTTCGAAGTCGGTGCCAGCCGATGCAAAGCAAATCTAATATCTGTACCTGAGAAGCATAATACTGTAACTCTGTTTTTTACGAGTTTGTGTTTTTTACAGTATACTATTGTGTGTCCTTTTCTGTAATGGCGTTACACTGTTTGTAGCAAAATTAACTATTTATTAAATGTCTTTTTTTATTAAATTCATATTACCAATGTAAATTTCACGTTACCAATGTGACGAATCGGATACAGAAAGGAAAATACGCATGCTATGATATAACATTCTTACTTAAACTCGCCTTAAATTAATTAAATATTACTTACAGACATATTAATGTCAATTTCTGGCACATCACTCAGGTCTGCTGCTTGTTCTGCTAATTTTTTCACTTCCGGATTATTAGGACCTAGAGTTTGTTCTATCCTCATTAACTCGTGTAGATAATCCCTATATACCTTTTCATTTATGGTATCTATAAAATTTAATCATGTTAATTACTCTTCCAATATACCTACTAGGGAATTGAGGATAGATAATATACAGATAATTAATTACCAGTAGTTTTTGCAATTTGGGTCCTCTGAGTATCTTGGGATGGAAGACTGATTCCTAGAATATCCATTTCTTTCGGTGTTGGGCAAAATACATCACCGGACGTCTGCCCAGGCCCTGTCACCTTTGAAGGCATTTGTACTTCTAAGCCTGATTTTGTTAATTGTTGAGTAGGTGTCACAGGAAGGAGATGTGGTGAAGCCGCTTGGCTTATTGTCGTTTGGTTCAGTGATGATTGTAGCGTTTTTGGAGTTTGTCCATTCACGAGTAAATCTGGTGTTGGCTGTTTTTGAGTATTTGAAGCTAAAAACAAAAATAAATCAGTTTACTCACTCTCAGTAAGAAATTAAAAATAATAAAAACCTATGTACTAAGTAGTTCTTACATTTTGTGAGATCAAGATCATGTGTAAAGGCCATTACATTAAGAGCGGAAGAAAGTGCAGGACCGACACCTGTGCCTGGTCCATCTGCTGTGCCTATTAACTCGGGAGGCGGTACACAGCTGGAATAAATGATACTTTTAAGTTTTATTATTTTTTTTATAAATCTATAGTAGATATTCCTATATTAATGTCTGTTGAAATGTGAACGCAATCTAGGCTATGAATAAATAATTATTTATTTCTAGAGTCCAGGCCTTTATATTGTATCTTATATATATCTAACCTCCTTGTATAACTACATACTATTTATGAATAAAAAGTAAATTACCTACTATAGCTGTCATCGTTATTACGCTCGGTCATTTTTTTATACTTTTACCTATTTTAGCTCATTCACTATATTCCTATATTAGTTTTCATTATATCAAATTATGGATAACTTACGGTAAGGGAGCTTTAGTGGGAGTAGAAATAGATACGCGTCCCCACATGAGGCGTCGCAACTCTTCACCACTGATTCCTCTTTTACGTAACTCTGATATGGTTACTTTTCCAACACGCTGTGTAAAATTAAGTACAAGAAATAAAAATTACAAATGTCCTTTGAACAATGATTCATTTTGCTAGAAATAATATGAGTAACATACTTTCCAATTAGCGAGCGCTCCTTTTCGTTGTTTAGCCCTAGTTTTCGCTTTACTCTTAATAACCATTACACCACGTTGCTCATATCGAGGGTCATCCGATGGACCAAGTCCGATGGAGTACTCCTGAAGGTATCTGTGGGCGTCTTCCTGTGATACTGATCTCTCCAATGACACTACAATTTTTGCCCACTGTAATAATATATTTTGTAATTGTACTAATATATAGGTACGTTACTTTATTAAACCCATTATTCTATTACAAACTGGCGATTTACCCGCGCCTCGCTTGAATGATGCTCGTAATTGTGCTTATTGCTATAGTAGAAAATAGAAATAACACCGTATACCTAAAGATGAATTTAAATTTCGGACAATTTGAGTTCATAAGCTATAACTAATAAATAAGTTTGATAAGCAGCAAACATACACAAATTATTTAAATGAAAAATGGATTTGATGATTAAATGGAATTTTTAAATGGAAAGTTCCAAGTAGATTTTTCCAAAAAATATATATATTCGTATTTTGTACCTGCTTTACCCATTCCTTTTCGGATTGCTCAATAACATGCGCGTATGTGTTCCCCATCATGGCGATCAACATGTTCAGCAGTAGTATGGGGACAAACACCATGAATAATGCGAATACGGTTTTCGCCAGATTTGGATACGTTGTCTGGCCCAAATCTGTGTACTGTTCACAAAGTAAATTGATATTTTTTCAATATGAATTTTAACAATATTTTTATATTTTAAAATATTTTTAATAACTGTTAAAATAAATGTATGAGTGTTAAATTAGCAGTGTTGACACTTACGCTGTAATCTCCTAAAGTAATTTGGAACAAAGCCATCCACGTGCTGGGATAACTGGAAAATAATGTTGACTGAACATTAGGAAATCCTGTAAAAGACAATAAAATTTAAAAACCTATAATAAAAATGTAAAAAGATACATTAGAAAAGAAAAGTTTGCATCTACCTTTATATAAAAAATAAAAAGACTGTGAAAATCCGAAGAGTACAATGCAGTAAATTATACCAAAAGTAAACATGTCGCCAGTGATCATGCTGTATATCATTGTCACGAATGGACCAGTCAATTTCACTGCACTGAAAAAATAAGACTTTTATATTAACAAAATATATGAATTCATAAGACATGAAAAAAGTGGTTGATATGTAGTTACCCAGCGAAAAACATGAGCAAGAACCAGGACCCTGGAAGAACAAATATGAGGATCGCTTCCTCCAGCGTAGTCTTTAGACTCAAGCGTGCTGGTATACACGCTAAAAGAAGAATGTTTGATGCCAGAAATATGAATTTTGCTGGTTCGTGAATCTAAAACCAAATTTAAATAGGTATTAATTAAATCAAAAAGGGGGTGATGGGCGCTATATAGGAGGTATCTAGTAAGATAATAAAGGTATTGTAAAAACCACTTACAAAATTATTTTGTTTTCCTCATTTTCACCATTTAGAAACTAGCATTTACTATACTATAACTTTCAAACATGACATTTAAGAAATTAAAAGCTTACCAATTGTTTAAAATAAGCAATTAGTCCTTGGTTTTTAATTTCATCACCTTGTTGTAGGATAATATAGCACAGTGTGCTTATAATAGTGCCCAACTCTGTCGATAGTCGTATGCCACTTCTTGCGTCGTCTGCTTCAAGACCCCAGTTGGGATGAGCATCCGCTTCTAGACTACTATGTCGAAGGTATACCGACACAGATAGTAGTAAAAGATGCAGCATTAAAATGAGGAGACGCTTAAGAAACTTCGTCTGAAAAAGGATGTATTCTCAAACAAATATCATTTCGTTTTAAAAATATTAGTTAATAATAATCGTACCCTTGCAAACGTCTTCCATTTTTCTTCTAACAATCTTTGAATTATGCCTCCATCCAACATATTTAAATGTTCTTGTTTCGTCCCGTTCAATATAATAAAGAGCGCTGAATTCCAATCTACAAAACAAAATATGTAATTAACTTTATGCAAAATTATAACCAACCATTATGCTAGAACGTACATTTTTAAAACTTACTAGTTCTACCATCAGGTAACAAAGTATCCAAAGCATTTAGGGGATACGCAGAGCACGTGATGTTAGAATATCTCCAGAACTCTCTAGAGGATAGCTCTAACATTTCTCTAAATACAGAAGCTCTGCCCAATTGGCAAGCCAATGTCAAAGGCGTAAAGCCGGCTTTATTTTGCCGACCGTTACTTGCTGGCAATCTTGGATGGCGTAGAGCATAGCCGAACATGTCCTAGAAAAAAAAATCGTATATTATTGTTTTGTTATTATATTTAGTATGAGATACGCGTTTACCAATTTAATTCTACCATTAGAAAAAAAACTGATCATATTTTTTTACATACACTAACAGATATCAATCGGTTACTTTAAAGACATACCAATTTATCACATACTACAACCATGTGGAGTATCATGTTTCCAAACGAATCTTGAGCATCAGGATCTGCTCCAGAATCTACAAGTAAATTATAGACAGCTTCATTTGAGCAACAAGCTGCCCACGCTAGAGGATACTCTCCCAAATACGCAAGGCCTTCATAATTGGTCTGTCGAGCAGGAGGCACTCTTTGTTGGTCCCTTGGAAGAAAAAAACTCCCTAAACAAAAAAATGGCGTTGACTTGTAAAATACGCATTTTTAAACTTTAATAGAGAAGTGCTTTGAAAATTGTGCTTGCAGAAAGCAAATTATTTATACCAATAGCTTTCTGACTGACATCTGCACCGGCTTCTACTAGATCTTGGACTAATTCATTATTGCTGTATGCGATGGCCAAATGCAAAGAACTTGCTCCTGAAATGTGAAATAATACATACATACAAAACACAGAAAATAAAAACACCAGTCTCGTATTATGTTTCCAGCGCATTTACCTAAATATTCTTCACCTTCTACAACATCCAAGGAAAGTTTTGGGAAGCATTTCACAAGTGTCCTTGCTAGACGAGTGTGTATCTAAAAGTATTGCACGAAAGTTTTTAGTTTTCATATAGGTATACCTCATTTAATTTTGTTATTATAAATAATATAGTAAATAATTTAACTTTGTTATTATAAATACATATAATAAATGACCTTTGTATCACAAATAATGAGTACGTGTAAAAGAGACTCCCCGAGCGCACCACGATAACTCATTTGCCAGCACGCGGTGTGGTCTTCCCACTTTGCAAGTGGATCATGTGGAGATAGCGACGCTTCTATCGGAAGCACTACCTGTAAATTAATACAACATTTAGGTACATTATTAATCTATACATATAATAGAATTGTAACTAAGTCGAATCTGTACATTAAATATTTTTTGGAAAATCTAATTGAAATAGACATTATTATCGATACAGAGTCCGAATCTATAGTTTTTAGAATTTTTGTCTGTCTGTCTGTCTGTTACCGCATCACGGAAAAACCACTGGAGGGATTTTGATGAAATTTGGTATGATGATAACTGGTTATCCAGGTCTACATGTAGGATACTTTTTACCGCGGGAAAATATCTCATTTCTGAGAAAAAATACAAAAACTGCAATTTAACTGCAATGTAAGAGTATACTAATATGTAAAACCTAAGTATTTGGTTTTTGGTTCTCTGAACGCGGACGGAGCCGCGGGCAATGCTAGTGTAATATATAGCCATTTTTTATAAAATAATAATAATAACTTTGAAAAGCCAACCTGTTCTTGATCTCTAAATTTCCATCGCAAATATTCGGCTCTATTGATGACTCTACCACGACCACCTGCATACATGTAAGCTGAAAATTCCTCACGTATTAATCTCTCTGCTGCTGCCATGCCACCTTTTGTGTAGGATTCCAGAAGTAATCCACCTAAAACATCAAAATGGCCGGTTTGTATTTTTCATACAAATTCATACTAATACAATAAAATTAACATAGATGCATGCATGAATCTAGTTCACGTACGTGCATTTGATGTCTATATATGTTAACAATTACCTAGTTATTTTGTAAGGTTCTTCATTTCCTAAACAAAATTATCACAATATGTTGTTTTTTTAAGTTACAGGTAGGTAAAGTAATTATATGAAAATAAACAACAAATATACGTTAGAATTAAATTTAAGTTATAAATTGTATTATCTCACTTATCAATTGCTGTACAAGATATGTACTTATTCAGCCCTTTTTAAAATTTTACTGCTGAGCACGGGCCTCTTTTTAATTATGTAACTTATGAATTCTTTCACCTTTTTTATAATCTGCCAGTTTATAAAGAACAGTATGATCTTCGCTACTGGGCTGTGAAATGACTCGGTCGAGAACAGAACCCACTGCCTGAACGCTCGACGGCGAACAAAGTTTTCCCAATGCATCCCCCATTTCACTGAAACGTTGAATTATTATGCTATGTATAATTAAGAAAATCTCGTGTAACTAATGATATATCAATAGCTTATGTATTTCACTAAGTTATTGGCGGTAAACGAAATTAATATTATATTTAACTAGTGACTCACCCTCGCTTCGCTCAGGTTCGTCTCTAGGTATGTATGGAATATAATTAGTATTTAATTTTATTTTTCGTGATTTTTTCCGACGTTTTAATAGTTATTCTGCTATTCGGAGTGAAGACAAACCCGACAAAACAAAGAACATAAAGATCGGTTCAGCCGTTCTCGAGTTGTTCTCAGTCTAGTAACAAACCCGACTCTACCCACACTGAGACTGTATACAAGAAGCCAATTGTTAATATTGAAGAGCTGCGTGCGTGTATCCAAACTGCGGGTCTTGAAATTAATAATGCTCGCACAACGAATCAAACGTTCTTTTATTAGAAAGTGTCGGGCATGTATCAGGTCAGGGGGTGGACATTTTGAACATCTTTTACGAAAAATAAATGAATAATACTTAATACTTTTTGGTTTAGTTTTATAATAATACTATTCGTCATATCATTAGTGTTTTTATAAATTGATTAAATTGAAAACTTGTTTTATTGTTAGTTTTGGTTCCATTTGGCCACAATCTATTAAGTTTTACAATATTTTGAGATTTACTGCAAAAATCCGGCCAAAAACTTTTATGGCCGAAATTCGGCCATAATCTTAATTGAAAATTAAAAAAATATATAGGTATATATATGAATTTATATTTTTCCAACATTTATTTATTAATAACATTGAAATTTCTCAATAATAATAAAAGAAAATTAATTGGGAAAGATAAACAGAGGAGGAAAAGGTAGTGAACGTGTTTGCCTATTTATATATGGATTTTTAATTACTTACTTGCTGACACTTTAATACTTAATACACATTAAGACTAACAAATTCTGCATTTTATTTCTGTTTTTCTGCAAGTCATTACTTGTTATTACACTAATTAACTTGTAATTGGATCAATTCAATAGTAAAATCTTCATCGTATTGTAAAATTAGACTATTTCTTTAAGGATGTTGAAATTAAATGCACAAATACAATATCTACGTGAAAACTCAAGTAATTTATATAGTAATATATATTATATATTAAGTATACAAAATAATTATTTTCTAAATATTTTAAGTTATATGTTAAATGAGCATCACTACTTTAGTTTGATAGTAAAACAGTGAGATAAACAGATTTGTTGTCATAGTAACAAAATTGGATCGGGGGGCACGGCAGTGCCCCCGCCAAGTCGAGCAAAAAAAAAGGGCACGGCAGTACCATCCTTTTCTCGAAGCGATTCAGAGCATTTTCCACCCCCCCATAACTTCGTTATGGATAAAGCTAGAAGCCTGAATTTTGAGTGACTAAGAGAACATAATATAACTAGGTATATTTCCAAATTACATTCAATTTGAACCTGTAGTTTATGAACTGTTGCAGATCAAAATTCATCAATATCGTCACTCACTCACTCACTCACCGATCATCAAAATTCTAAGGTACTTCTAGCAAACAGGAGCTTCAAATTTTGAACACAATTAGTGTTTAGCCTATAACAGAAGGAAAAACTCAAACATCACGCAGTTTCAATCCTGTTTTCGAGATATACAAACTGCATAAGTAATTTTGTAATCCTATACAAATAGATATGCGATATATGGGATTACAAAGTTATTTTTGCAGTTCATACATATAATTTTTCGTCACTTAAACTACCCAAATGGATAGCTGGGTAAATAGTGGATATACTGTAAGTGTTAGCGATGACTAAAATGTAATTATCAATATTGTAAATAGTTTTAAGAAGTAATATATTTAATATATAAATTGAAACATATATGTATGTATGATCTTAATTATAAAAAAATATATACAAGTAATCAAACACTCGGGTGTTTCCGTAGCGAGAGTCGCTCTTTATCTTATCACCTCGGGGCAATACCGTAGCGAGAGCTGCTCTCAGTTGCTACAAGATCTCAAATATAAAAAAAATATATGAGTAATCGAAGACTCGTGCTCGGATGTTTTCGTAATGAGAATCGCTCGGTATGTTATCACCTCGGGGCAAGACCGTAGCGAGAGCCGCTCTCGGTTGCTACAAGATCTCAAATATAAAAAAATATATATAAGTAATTGAAGACTCGGGTGTTTTCGTAATGAGAATCGCTTTGTATGTTATCACCTCGGGGCAACACCGTAGCGAAAGCCGCTCTCAGTTGTGTGTATAATCTCAATTTAAAAAATATATATATGCGCAAACACCAGCAAAGCAGTCATGTGTAGCCTCCCGGGAGTCCCTGATGTCCAGGAGCTACACCAACCGATCTCTACGTTCAAATCGTTCTACGACAGAATAGAGGCCATTCCATCGGCATTAACCTCACAACTAATCAATGGTTAGTTTAGGTAGGATCAAACCCAGATCGATTACACTTATCGACGAAATCATACATAGAAGTAAGAGAATTCGTTGTAAAATAAAAACCAGCACGAACACTTGCAAAAAATATTCGTATCGTCATCGAGAATATTTTGTATAGGCAAAATATAACTATTAAATAAATTATCTAAGACCAAATTTAGCCATTTAGCACTATGCATGTAATATGTATACGTGGTATATCTTTTGTATACCTATCTATATTAGGTTTATTGCATAAAAGTCTTATATGATGATATGTAATTCAAGATTAGGATGCATTATTACTCAGGGGTTCAGTCAAAACGCTATTACTATTCCTACGCTAATGTTTTTTTCAATATCTCCTTGTAGATTATGACGTAAAATTATTTTATATTAAATTATGACGTAAATTTATTTTATTTTATATTTTATATATAAATATTTATTTTACATAATTAATGTCCATAATAAATATTGTTGTGGTAGTACAGAGCCCTCGGAGCGTTAGTTCGACTTCTACTTGACTAATACATAGGTACAATATTTATTTATCAATATTTAGTTTAGTCATGTTAAAAAAACACAGGAATAACTCATATATTATTTTATTAACTTAAATATCCAACTAAAAAAAAATATCTTTCTCAGGGTTCCGTTTGCCATCACTAAGTATTTAATTTGTTAGTCAATTCCTCCACTTTAACGACATCAAGGAACGCTAGAAGGTTTAGGTATTTTTTTAAATAATAGGTCGCAATAAAATAGCACATAATATAAATATTTTGACATAAATAAACTTCATCGTAGCTTGCTTTAATTTGTGTCGTTAATGTCAAATATAAATTTCGTTTAAAAATCATAAAATATTTTAATTAAATTTACACTATTTTTTCCTTCCATTATTTAAATTAAATATTATTTTTTCCTTTCCTGATATGTACTTTTATTTTTTTCACCTCATTCATATATTCTAATAAAATTTATAATTAATAGTAAATTAATTAATTATACAATAGTTGCACTGTAAAAGGAGGTTAGGTTAATGTTTGTAAACCTTGTAACCTATAGGTATGTATGTTTGTATGTCCGATCCTATGTTCCCTCGTAATCACTAACCTAATTTCGATTCGTCGATTTATTAATGTTTATATTTGCAACTATATGTATTAGAAAAGTATTTTTTAAATGCGAAAATAATATTTTAAGCTTTTTTAGTAGCTTTACAATTTTTATGCATATACACATGGGTACATAAAATTATGTAATGTGAAGCGTGTGTAGTTTATACCTACTAATATTCGATTATTGTTATTTATAATGAATTGATTAAAATATATACCTAATTTAGAAACAACTTGACGATTACTTAATTTTGAAACCAAGCTCGTATATTTTCTTTTACAAAGTATGATGTTGATATGAATTAGAAAACCTTGTCAACATCTCATTGCTCGTAATTGTACCCACCTAATAGAACATGGAATATAGAGGTCATGAAATATCAATCTCATCGAAAATTTCTTTTAAAATGGAATAGAAGATAAATTTCGGGATTTAACTACGATGCTGCAGATAGACACATAAATCTACACGTCTTATTAAATTTATGTAAGTTGAATATCAGTATCGCGGTAGGTATATAGGGTCAACAATGAAATTAAAATATTCGTTAAATTAACTATACATATTTATACTTAATGCATAAGATAGTAGTATTAAAGTCCAGGAATCCACAATTTCCCAATACAATAGACTTAGATTTTTTATCATCCAGACTTGTCAAAATTTGTTATATCAAAGCCTCTGAAAAAAGCCCACAGAGACAAGGAGTGGGCTTTTAAAAAGTCCTTAGCTGACACACAAGAAATAGTACAAGAAAAGAGAAAAAGAAAAAATATTTACAAAAAGAAATGAGATCCCATCAAAAACATACTGTAAAAAATTGCAAGTCTCGCAATGCATTACTTCTACCGCAAAAAACTATGAGATATAATGTAAAACCAAGTCGGTTAATTTATTCATTACCTACCTATGGAAGCATCTATCCGACAACTTTGTCATAAATCGTTACCGAATTAGTTAAGTTACAACATTTTATAGTGACCGTATTAATATTAGATATATTTATTTCTTTAATTAATAGAATGACTTGGCCATCGCACATGATAATAGAACTTACAAATAACAAAATTTACCTAATATTAGCGTTCTGAGTGCATTATTTATGTTAGTGTATGCATAAACTTGACCCGCTAGTGCTATGTTCAGTTCATCTCAGCCCAAACACGTCCACAGCTGGACATAGGCCTCCCCCAAAAATATTCATGACAACCAGTATTGTGCCATCCGCATCCAGTGGGCTCCAGCGACTTCGACCAAGTCGTCCGTCCACCTTGGTCATGGTATGTTTAATTAGGACTATTTAAAGTAGTAGACTCTTATGTGATTATTTTTCCGTGCGATGGCCAAGTCATTCTATTAATTAAAGAAATAAATATATCTAATATTAATACGGTCACTATAAAATGTTGTAACTTAACTAATT